ATATACTAGATAAATTTATTTCGATGTAAATTTTTAAAATTATATTGTTTTAAAAAAAATTGTTAAAAAATTCTTTTTTAATAAAATTCTTTATAATATTAATTTATGAAGCTAGAAGTTTAGTTTTTAGCAAAAATTTCTTCGAAGTTTATATTATTTTTGCAAATTTAAGTATACTAATATTTAATCAACCTCTATTTATATTACTTTATCTCAAAATGAAATATTAATCTAACAAAAAATAAAATATAGAAGAAGAAACAAACACGTGTTTTTATAATATAGAAAATTTGAAACAATCTATTTGATTAAAACACGTACTATATAATATTATTATGTTTGAAAAACATCTACTATACATATCGTAAATATGTGATTACTATAATACATACCAATTTACAAGTGAAAACAAATGTTTATATAACTAACTATAAACGAAAACAAACACCCGCGCGGTTGCGCGGGTCAAAATCTAGTTAAACATTTAAAATATTTAAATACTTATAAAACAATGAACAAAAAATTAAATGTTCTCTTCTCTTGTGCGTTTACGCACAGAGTTGTTTCCTAGTAATATTAATACTAATACACACTCACTACAAGAAAACACGCTACATTCCGACGGACACCATTTTCGTTATTTTTCTAACAAAATTCTGACAAGATACCTATAATTACGATGAAATACTGACGAAAGTAAAGTCGTCGGACTTTTCCGACGGAAAACCGATGCAGTTTGGGGTTTCGATAGGGGTTTGATAGTTCATCGGAATATCCTGACGGAATTCTGGCCAACTTTAGGGTTTCGACAGGGGTTTGAAGGTCGTTGAGATTTCATAGAAAAATTCTGACGGAATACCAACGACCATAATTTTAGATTTGCAAACTTGTCTAAAATGTATAATTGGATACTTAAAATTTCCAAATAAGAAATATATATGTTTATAATAAGAAATTAGCTCACATATAAAGGCTTCATCATGTTTTTCATATAACAAAATTATTCGTATACGTATTAACGTATTTGTAACATTCTCCAATAATATTTACACTTATGCAAACATATTATGGTAACATAAGACTAGATTTTGATTTTGTATAATAGATTGTGTGGGAAACAATTAAATATTTAAGTTATACCTCATGTAAATCCTTTACACACTATCAACAATTTTTATGTGCTCGGAGCTTGTTGATTTAAAACTCCAAAATTCATTTTTTTGAAATTCCGTTGGAATTCCATCAATAATACCGACGATATTCCGATGAAATATACTGACGAAATTCTGACGGATAATACCGACGAAATTTCGACGGATTATACCGACGAAATTCCGACGAACTTTATCCCCAACCAATCAAAAGACATGTAGATAGTCAAAGATTCTCGAGGCTTGCTTTGTCGATATTCGCGAGTATTCCGACGAAATTCTGACGAATTGTTACCGATGACAAGTTTTTTGTCAGAATTTCGTCGGAATATTTTATTTTACCCGGAAAAAATATTCGCGAAATGATTTCGTATACCGAGTAAAAAGAAACCGACGAAATTCCGATGGAATGTGTCTGACAATATATTTTTAATATATAAACCAACTCTTCTTATTTTCCCTCATTTTCTTCTCTTCTTCTCTTCTTTTCTCTGCGGCTCTCCCTCCTTTCTCTGTCAAACACCGTCGATTCCGACGAGATCTCGTCCAAAATATCTTCTCTAAACATGTAAGTCTTTGAATCCCTCTTTAGATTTTTGTTTTTAGGGTTGAAATATTAGATTTGTGAATTTTAGGTTTTGAATCTAAAGACTTAGGATTGAATTCATAGTTTTAGGAGTTATATGTTGTTAGATTTCGTTAGGTTGTGGTTTATATGTATATTGAAAATTTTAGTTTGTAGATTATGGTTTATATGTTAAATATTGTTAGAAAATGTTTTCTTTATGTTAAATATATTTATAAAATATTTTTATAATTATTGGATATAAAGAAAAAAATTTATATATGTATATAAAATTTTCAAGTTTTTATTATCTTTTATTGTTTCAAAATGTTTTTATAAATTTTTATAAGGTTTTAAGCTTCTTATAAAACTTTTTAAGATTATATTTTTTTAAGTTTTTTTATAATCTATAAAACGTTTTCTGGTTTCTAAAATTTATCAAAATCTTTTTCACCTTTTTAAAAACCTTTTCAGACGAAATTTTGTGTTTTTTTAGATTTAATTAAAACTTTTTCAGTTGTTAGAAAAAGGTTTCAATTACCAAAAGTTTATAAGAAAATAAAAAAAATACATTTTCTCTTTGTTTTAAAATACTTGAATTTTATAAACCGTTTTATGATTTGAAAAAATTATAAAAACATTTATTATAAAGGATTTTAAAACACTTATACTACAAAACGTTTTTTTTAATTTTAATTATAATTATAAAAAGAATTAAAAATATTTATTATATATAATTGTTAATAAATAATTCTATTAAAAAAATAGTTTTCTAATTTTAAAATTCTATATATATATAAGGAATTAAAAATATTTAAATAAAATCAGTTTTATTTTTTAATTAATTTATAAAGTCTGTCAGAATTTCTCCGGAAATAAGTTTCTTGAAATTTTGTCTAAAATTAATTCATTGGAATTTTGTCGGAAAACTATCCGTCGGAATTTCTTCAGACGAAATTTCGTCAGAAAGTTGTCCATCAGAATTTTGTCGAAAATATGTTTGTCGATATTAGTCGAAATTTCGTCGGAATTTTTGAAGAAATTTCAATGAACTTTTTTTTTTGATGACTCAATTCATCGAAACTTCGTCAAAATTGTCTTATTTCAATGAAGTTCCGACAAAATTGTTCTTCGGATTTTGCGTATTTTCTTGTAGTGATTTTAGTTTTCCTATTGAATAACAGAATAACTCAATCGTAAATAAGAGACGCTTGTGTTCATACATCTAAAACAAATTACTTGGTTGCGTACAATGCATAGACATGGCTTCTCCATTGTTGCAGGACCATATTATTACTCTATATTTAATTTTCATTCGATTTAATTGGTCTAATAAATAACGCTCATCAATTCCTTTTTGGTCACATGGCTATATAATTATTCTATACTCCCTCCATGGCTATATAATTATTCTATACTCCCTCCGTTTTATTTTAATTATCCTTCTAGGTTTTTGCATACAGATTAAGAAAACATTTAATTTTATATATTTTCAAGATAAAAACACAATTATCTATACACTTAACCAATTTTTAACCAATAAAAAAAATAGAATATCATATAAAACTAATAAATTTTGTCTCAAAACTCTAAAATGACACTTATTTTGAAACAAATTTTTTTCTCTAGAATGACAATTAATTCGAAACGGGAGGAGTATTTAGTTTTCATTCAATTTATTTGGTCTAATAAATAACGGCCATCAATTCCATTTGGTCACATGGCTATAAAATTACTCTATATTTAATTTTCATTTATTTTTTTGGTCTGGTGAGTAATCTTGCCAGCAAAATAATTTCAAATTGTTGCTTCACAAAGATAAATAAATATTTTTTTGATAAAGATAAATAAATAAATTCAAGTGTCGAAAGAGACACAACACCCATATAACAATTCAATTTATTATGAATCATAGTTTAATTTATTGTTATGCTGTTATCTCAAAAATGTTAACATAACAAGTGCAAAAAATTGTCATACCTAATTCATTTTTTTTTACCTAATTCATTTTTTAAAATCATTGAAGTGGTTATGGCTTAGTTATCATCGATCACTGTATTTTATTACAGTCAAATTTACAAAACAACTGCAATTATTTTTACTACATTAACATTTGCAAATTTCCGGTCATCAAACAAATCATCTGGATTCATTTAAATAATTTTCTTTTCTACACACAATGTGATAGTTTTGAAGATTGTAAAGACTTAAACGATGAGTATCGACTTCGAACTTTGAAATCTTTTAGAATATTTTCTTTAAGTGTTAGACTATTATACAAAAATGAATTGCATAGTATCTACAGAACCCCAGCTTCCGTCACTCTCTCTACCGGCCGGTCAAATTTTCAGAAACAAGCGTGAGTTTCTGATCGACAAACTTTATATAGTCTAGAAGCTTATTATACACGTGCATGCCATTTTTACTGAGCTCATATTAAAACATTAGTTCAAACTTCAAAACGTATATTTGCATATATCAAGGCTTCCTTACCACCAAAAGTTATAAAAAAATAGAGGGGTTCATTACCTCTGCTCTGCGTTGTTGCTTTCACAACGCTGGACACGCAACTCATACATCTTCTGCCAATTTTTTTTGCTAAGTCTGAAACTCACACCTTCTGATATAGTCATATAAAAGCATTAATGAATTTTTAATCAAATCATTAAACTAAAAAGGCTTCCACACATCTTCTACCAAATTGGTACCTGATACTTTTAAACACCACTACCATTTTTGATTATTTCAAAAACATGACACAAATGTAAATAATAGCTTACAAAACATATATAAAGGTGTATGAAAATAAAATAAAATAAAATAGGGTCTAAGGCTTCCATCTTTTATGAAACTATAGCAGAGTATAATATTTTGTTTCATCTAATTTCCTTAGCTGGTTGCATAAATGCAATAATTTCATATTTACACGAACATGTTCCACCTGTACGTATATGGTATGTAACTCACGAAGCAATACTTCTTTGTTTCCATGACGCTAGATGTTAAAGAAGTCGATCTTGTCGCTTATGTATGACATAAATATCCCAATTATTGTTAGAAGACTTGGCACTGGAATTAAATTTTCATTTATTACAGAAATTTCAGCATCGATCCCTCCATAGTCCATACGAAATTAATATATGCGGTTGCAGAAAATTATCCATCCATTTTATAAAAATTAAATAAATTTAAACGTTATAACAAATTATAAAAAATATATGAAATTCACAATATTTCCAGTCAAACTGTAAAAAAAATGTAAATCTTGAACTAAGGGCTCATCTTCACGCACAATGTGGATAACGTCTCCGCCGTTTTGCCGTGGTCGACGTGTCACTATAAACGGATGCGAAGAAACGGTCAATCTCTTCTCGGTTCATTATAATCTCACAAGTCGACACTAAGAGCTTCCTCTTACACGATCTGATCATCATAGCCGCCGTAGCCGACGGTTTTGACGGCGGTGGACGAGGTTTTCTTGGCGGTGGAGGTGGAGAATCAAGAACGGAGGGAATCTTGTGTTCTTGAGATGTGGGTGTGCTGCAGCTAAAGCCATCTTCATCTTCGTCGCCGTTGTTTTTGTTCCTAGTGGTTTTGGATCCGATCTTAATGGTTGCTGGGATATTGAATTTGGACAGATCTTGTAATAACTCAAGATCCATATCTGTAAATGTGTATGTGTTCTTGTTTGTTGTGGATGTACGTGGAAAACTTGTTGAAGTGAGGTTGAGAGAGGTTTAATATATGTGTTTGTGTCTTTACACACACGTATATATACACATGAAGTTAGAATGTCGCATTTAGAAACGAGAGTTACTTTTTGACATGATTGAGAAAAAAAGATAAGCAAGGTAAATTTATATAAGAAAATTATATATAATGAATTTCACATACTTATCAAAAATAATTAAAAATATAAGGAGAATGGTTGTAACTTAATTTCTGAATTTAGAAAAATATAGTATTACTAGCGAAGGATATAAGTTACTTGTATAGTTATATAAGTTACTTACTTGTATAGTTGTATTTTTATGTACGTACAACTAAATCACACATGGTTTACCATTTTGATAGGGTACACCTAATCTTCCGAATAATTATTTTCTATTAATGAGTTTTTAATGGGAACAAACACGAGGGGGAAGGATATATTTAAGAAGTATTATTACTTGAAAAATAGTGAGGCATTTAAAATTTTTAAAATAATTTATAGCTAATCTCAATGATGTTATTAAATAAACCACATTATTTAACGATTGCCGCAAGAAAAATGTTTTCTAAGATATTGTTTGAATAATATCAATAAAAACCTTACATAATATCAATAAAAACCTTACAAATATTCTGGGAAGACTAAAGTTTTCGCAAATAAAAAAGACTAATTAAACTCTACAAAAAAAAAAAAATTAAACTCTACATAAAGTTTGGATTAGAGCAGTAATGATATAATAAATTAGCGGGTCAGAACAAATGAAACAAACGCAAATGGTGTTCTCCTCCATCGGTGTCCCATTTAAAGATGTGTGGGTTATGGTCTCAACTCTCAACAATAACAAGTTCTAGATCAACTTTATCTTAGACAAGCCATGTACATGTGGTGATGATATAGAATAGATCTGTTGAAGTGAGTCAGTAGTAATATCCAAATAAAAAAGTATTACATAACTGGAAAAGATCCATATGATCTCATGCAGGAGATCTCGATCTATTGCCTTTGCTTTATACTTAACTTTTGTTTTGTCTGTCTATAGAGACATTGACACGTTTTCTGGTTTGACTTTAGGTACAATGGGAGGCTTGGACAGAAAGATGTATGGGGGAATTAGGATAAGCCTTAGCCGACGCCCGACGTTACTTGAAGCCGAAAATGAAGCCTCAGTGGTCCAACTCTGGATGTTTCATTTGGCTAAACTGAATAAAATAAAATTAATATCTTGAAGCCGAAAGGGAATGGGGAAATAAAAACAACTGACCTTGAAGGCTGAAAAGTTCTAGAAAAATGAAACAAAAAACAAATAAAAATCTACGGTGAAGTCATAGTTTAATCAATCAAAAGTAGATCTTGTTTTAATTGGTTTCAACATATTTTCTCCATAAATGGAAAAAATCTTGAACCAAAAGATGAAAAATGTTAATCGGAGTAAAGAGTCGTTGATCTATAGTACGTTGGTTAATTGATAAAAGTTATACGTTCTCAGATAGATATTATAAGATTTCATAATTACTAAAATTCGTACAACTTGAGTTAGATGAAGATTCTCACATATACACCGTACGTAGACATACGTATCACTATTAAACAAATCTAATCGATTAAAACGAGTTTTGTTATATTCGGTAAATCCATATAGTCGATTACATCCACATAGGATTCCAAAATTTTAATTATAAAATTTTACACCAACATGGAAGAAAACAAATAATCATGTGTCTCTCAAATATAAGAATCACATGAAATCAAAAAGTTTCAAGTAAATCTTAGATCCCAATGAAATGTAGACAAGGAAAGTAAGTGAAACATAACGTGCATGGCTTCCACATCATGAACTCACTCCTGTATTTTTTTTTCTTATTTATTCTTATATTAATATGATTAGCTATTTATCAATAACGAAATTAAAATACCATAAAATTCCAAGGACTATACGACTGACATCAAAAGTAAAGATAAGGAGCATGACGATTCTCCATTTGATGGTTAGGGAATATCATATTGAATTGTCTCCCTATCGTAGAGATGAACGAATGAACGAATGATCGATCATCTATACAAATTAAATTTGACATAAATCTCGACAATACTATCTAACTAAGAAATGTTTTTGCAATAGGTTGCTGATGATAGTAGTTGTTACATTTTACATCATTGTTAAACGAGGCCGCCCGAATCCTAAACGGAGACACCAGCAGCCACATAGACCAAGCTTTGTTTTTTAAACTCTCGAAAGCTTAACTAGTGAGTTGTATTAGATGTGATCATACTAAAAGAATTCACAACAATCCATCAATCTATCTTTTGCTTACGTTGTATTAAGGAAATCACATGGACCAAAGACTTGAAGTCATGCTATCATCTTAATTGATAATTATCATTATCAGCATGAAACATACAAAAAGTCTAGCTAGTAGAAAAAAATTACTTAGAAGAGTGATGTAAGAGTAAGTACATCAGTGAAACCCCCTTTGGGGTTCACTATTTTAATTTTTTTTTTGGTTTAACTTTTTATAAAAAACAGATCAATAGCGGGCCGCCACGTGATATGAGGCCCGCATAAAAGCCATGAATCGGGTTCACGTGGAAGAGGCGTTGAGAGCTGATGAGGCCCGCATAAAAGCCATGAACCGGGTTCACGTGGAAGAGGCGTTGAGAGCTGAGTTCACTGAAGCTAATTATTATAACATTTTTTATAGAAAAATGTGTGAACTCTTATGTTGATATCTTGATGTGGCTGCCAGTCAATATGTATTCTAGTCACCCACCTTGAAATGGCATCGCTACCTTCAAGAGTATATGCAATGACATCTTTAAAAAGGTGGAAGCGTACACGAATCAACTTTCATATATGCTAAAAAAAATAACTTTCATATATGCTTTACCAAAAAATTAGGTGTTTGCCCGCACTTCCAGACATAATTCTCTTATGGATATTTTTTTATTTGATGTTTTATTAATTTAAAAACCAACATAATAACTTATTATTTATATTTTTAAAAAGTAAAAATCAAACATCAAATAATTATCAATAACAAAATTCAAACTATTTTAATTTTATATTATATAATATTTTTTCTTGAGTGATGATTTAAATTTAATTAATAATAGATAATTTTACTATTTTAATTTTATATTATATAATATTAAAATATATTTTCAAGATAATAACATAAGAATTACGTTATTTTCTAAAAGTGTAATATTATTAGTGTACATTTATTTCAATTATAGAATAACTATAACTTTTTATATCTTAATTTTAAATTTTTAATAGAAAAATATATTTTTAAGACAGCAACTTAATACATAAGAATTATCTTATTTTCTAAAAATCTGATACTATTAATATAAATTTGTTTTAAATATATAATAAATTATACATAAAATTATATAAATTATGATATATTATCAAAATTACCTAAAATCATGAAAAATATGACAAACCAGCAAACATCAAATTCATTTCTTGAATAATAGTACAATTTTTTACATGTTAATTTAAAATTTTATAGTAGAAAATATATTTTCAAGATAACATCATAATACATAAGAATTAAATTATTTTCTATCATATTACTAATATAAATTAGTTTAAATTATATAATCAATAATAAATAAAACTAGAGAAATTCTGATAAATGATCAAAATTACTTAAGAACATGGAGACAAATCAACAAATTCACTTTTTAAATAATTCTTTTGATGATTTATATTTAATTATTAAAAATGTATATTAATAATTTTTATATCTTAATTTTAAGTTTTATAATACGAAAATATATTTTCAACATAACAACATAATACATAAGAATTATCTTTCGAAATATATAAATATATAAAATTATTAATATAAATTCGTTTTAGTTATATAATAAATATAATAATTTTTCTATCTTAATTTTAAAATTTAAAATTTAAAATTTATATATAAAATATATTTCAAGATAATAATAATTCACAAGAATTATCTTACCTTCTAAAAATATGATATATTCATATAATTTTTTTATTTATAAATAAATATTAAAAATATGATAAATAAACAAAATTACCTAAACTTATGGAGAACATGACAACTAAGAAAATTTACTTCTTAAATAATAGTATTGATTGATGATAAAAGACCTCCATATTTGTGTCTATATATTTCCTGGAAATAACTAGCTCGTGGGTTTCGCTAAGGCTCTTTAATCTCAGGCCCAATCAAGAGTGACAAGTCCAGGCCTCGAGGAGGAGAGGTAGAAGCTGAGAAAGAGGTGTCCATAGAAGCAGCAAAGACTGTTGAGCTGAAGAAGAAGACTAAAGGAAGGAATAAACTAAGCAGAGTTGATGGAGGAGGCAAAACGGACGTTCCCGGAGCAAGAACACAACAGAGCTTAAAGAAGATAAGAATCCGTGAAGAAGAAGTCGCTGTGGGAGTTTTACCAGCGTGTTTGAAGAGGTTTGTACCAAAAAAAAACTGAATAATACTACGGATGTGGTAGTCCAGTTGGTTTAAACGCATGTATTGGTGCTATTGCACTCTTGGTTCTCCCTATCATGGGAGGAATGTTTTACACCATAGATGGTATTAGAGATTGACTCGTTCATCCGTACGGATGTTGAATTTTTACATTTTTATAAATTACTATTTTATTTTTCATAATTTAGGTTATATATTTTATATTTCATTATATAATTAATTGAATATTTTAAGTTATATATATCATAACTGAACCCGAATCAAATTAGATAAGATGGTCATTTTTAGTTATTTTAATTTGGATTCAAAATATTCGAATCGAATCGGTTAATATGATTATTTTTGGTACAAATATCCAAACATGTTTCAGATACATTAATTTTTAGGATATTTTAAATTTTCATATATCAAAACTGAATTCATACAGACTTCATATTTATGCAAAATAATAAATGAAATGATTATTTTAAAAACACAATAAATGAAGTAAATATTTAGAAAATACAATGCATGAAGTGGTTAAAATTAAATAAAATGAAGTGAAAATCTTTAAAAGATCACTTAAATAAGTAAGTATTGTTTTGTACTTCTGTTTTAATAGAATAGATCGGCACCAACCGGATTCTGAACCGAACCTGGAAAGATTAGATGGGTCCAAGACCGAGACACCTCCTGATTTTCAAAAAAAAAAAAAAATGGAATAATGGTTCAGTAAAATAAAACTTAAAAGATATTAAAGGTGGTAAAACATGTTGGATTGTGATTATAATGAGAACAACTAATAGCAAACTGCAACTCACCAGTTTCATTTGTGTGGGTAGAACGAAAATATGAAATCAAGGAGTCTACTATAAGTTTATTGAGAACTCGTGATGTGTTTGGCTATTATAGCTGGTCGCATAGTTATACAATATCTTGCACTATCTGGACACAGTAAGCACTATCTGGACAAAATCTTGAAATTTTTGTAATATTTTTTAAATGTTGCAAACTTATATTTCTCTAAAAGTTTCCAACAAATAAAATATTCTCAACAACTCAGGCCACCAGTGTTTAAGGCCAAAATAAGTATACTTTTATGCTAATGGTGGGGTCACTACAAGGCATTAGAACTCATAATGTTTCGTAAGAGAACACAATATTTAAAACATAATTACCAGTATATACTAAAGTATTATTATTTGAATAGTAAAAAACGTTTTGAGCTAGCTAACTACAAATTATAGCATGTGCCCACCACATAACCTAATAGCCCCTCAAGCTCGCGAGCAGCTAAGTAGGTGAGAGAGAGTCGCTCACTGTACACAGCTTTTCCCGCACGTGTGTCTTTTTGATTCAAACAGTTAACCAATCAACACCATCCACGTAAGGTTTTATATTATTAGTGCACTACTCTCATTATATTTTGAAGAATAACCATCAAATTTTTGTATGGTTGACAAAAAAAAAACCATCAATTTTGTATTTGTACCACATACCGGTCAGGTTCTTGAGTAATATCACAAACTAATCACACGCGCCTTTTAGCAGCAACCACTCGTCACGTGTGACTATCTGACCGTTGGTAATACTCACGCGCTCTCTTAGCCAGCCATCTCGACTGTAACTGTCTCGTGCCACGCACATGACTGCGCACATTAGTTTTGACCACTGTCTCTTATTTTTTTATTTTCCCCAAAATATATATTTAACCACCACTGAAAAAACACCAAAGCTTTCTCAGTCTGTTTCTCTCTATCTGAACCGATGACGTCGTTTCACTCTCCGTCGGGCGCCTCCTCTCTCTTTTCCACCGATCAGAAGATCCGTGTCGGGAGTCTCGACGCTCTGAGATCCTCTCGTACCGTTTTCCTCGGAAGAAATGTGTTTGGTAGTGTCCACTCGTTGCCTCCATCATCGTCATCTTCTTCCTCAATCCAAGCCGTATCAACGGTAAAAAGTTATTACCTTTATCTTACTTAGCTCTAGTTTTCAAAAGATTCCTGTTTTAATTGAAAAAACGTTAATTTCTCTGTTAAAACATATATCTAAAGGTTTTGTAATAGATTGATGATAATGTTTTTGTGTAATGATAGGTGATTGGTTCGTGTGTTAAGATAAAAAAAAAACCTGTTCTCTTTTTTTTTTGTGATAATTTTTGTGCAGCCAGCAAAGCCTGAGACAGCAAAGTCAACCAAGAGAAGCAAAGTTGAGATCATCAAGGAGAAGAGTAACTTCATCAGATACCCACTCAACGAGGAGCTTCTAACAGAAGCCCCAAACGTCAACGAATCCGCCGTGCAACTCATCAAGTTCCACGGAAGCTACCAACAATACAACCGTGAAGAACGTGGCGGAAGATCATACTCCTTCATGCTCCGCACAAAAAACCCAAGCGGCAAAGTCCCAAACCAGCTTTACCTAACCATGGACGACTTAGCAGACGAGTTCGGCATCGGCACCCTTCGTTTAACCACCAGACAAACATTCCAGCTTCATGGAGTTTTGAAACACAATCTCAAGACAGTGATGAGTTCCATTATCAAAAACATGGGGAGCACACTCGGTGCTTGTGGTGATTTGAACAGAAACGTTCTTGCTCCGGCTGCTCCTTATGTTAAGAAAGAGTATTTATTCGCGCAAGAGACGGCTGATAACATTGCGGCGCTGCTCAGTCCACAGTCTGGGTTTTACTATGATATGTGGGTTGATGGTGAGCAGTTTATGACGGCTGAGGCACCTGAGGTTGTGGAGGCGAGGAATGATAACTCTCATGGGACTAACTTTGTGGACTCTCCTGAGCCTATTTATGGTACTCAGTTCTTGCCGAGGAAGTTCAAGATCGCTGTCACTGTGCCTACTGATAACTCTGTTGATCTTTTGACCAATGACATTGGTGTTGTTGTGGTTTCTGATGATAATGGGGAGCCTCAGGGTTTCAACATATATGTAAGTCTCTGCTTCTGACTTTATCTTAGCATCTTCATAGTTGAATACAATGTTCTAAAAATCGGTCTAACCCCGCTAATCACCAAATTGGTTATAGCCGAAACAATTTTCTTATTCAATTTTCTAAAATATGTTTAATCAAGCAATAATGTTAGTGCAATCAAGAAATTTGTGTAATTTTTTTTTCTTTGTATGTCTAATTTTTATATTTCATTAGCATAGTTTTATAATTAGACACACAATACTAAAATATCTAAAATAAATGTAAAATATATAAATCATATTCATTAATCTGTTTAGTTGATTATAGAGCTCTCATATTTAGTTTTTTGAACATTGGTTGCTTATGAATTTTTTTCTTCTTCTTACAGGTTGGTGGAGGTATGGGAAGAACACATAGAATGGAGTCTACTTTTGCACGCATTGCAGAACCATTAGGTTACGTGCCTAAGGAGGATATCTTGTATGCTGTGAAGGCCATTGTTGTCACACAGAGAGAACATGGGAGAAGAGATGACCGCAAATACAGTAGAATGAAGTATCTGCTCAGCTCCTGGGGGATTGAGAAGTTCAGAGATGTGGTTGAGCAATACTATGGTAAAAAGTTTGAGTCTACCCGTGATTTACCAGAGTGGGAGTTCAAAAGCTATTTGGGATGGCATGAACAGGTTAGTCACTGACCAATTTTTGCGTAATGTTCTCTTGTCCTCATAGTTACAAAACTTTGCAGGGAGATGGTGCTTGGTTTTGTGGGCTTCATGTAGACAGTGGACGTGTTGGAGGCATCATGAAAAAGACACTGAGAGAAGTCATTGAGAAGTACAAACTTGATGTGCGTATCACACCGAATCAAAACATTGTGTTATGTGATATCAAGAGTGAGTGGAAGCGTCCCATCACTACTGTGCTTGCTCAGGCTGGCTTATTGGTAAGAAGTTTTGTTTTATACAGAGGTCTTGCCATTTTGAAAGTTAAGTTGACAAAGAGTTTATTGATTAATTTGAGCAGCAACCAGAGTTTGTAGACCCTCTCAACCAAACCGCAATGGCTTGTCCAGCTTTTCCTTTGTGCCCTTTAGCTATAACCGAGGCAGAGCGTGGGATCCCTAGTATTCTGAAGCGAGTGCGAGCGATGTTTGAGAAGGTATGATCTTCTCATGGATACTTTCTAAAAAAGATAACTCCTCTCATGTGCAATCTGTTTCTTACTTGTATCAGGTTGGTCTTGAGTATGATGATTCTGTTGTGGTAAGAGTAACTGGTTGCCCTAATGGATGTGCTAGACCATACATGGCTGAAGTTGGTCTAGTTGGAGATGGTCCAAATAGCTATCAGGTAATTAGTTACCTCTCTGCCTATGAGTTGGAACAAGATTAAAAAATTCTCATTGGAGGTTCTTTGTGTTGTTGCTGTTGTTGTTTGTTGCAGGTTTGGTTAGGAGGAACACCGAATCAGACACAGATAGCGAGGGCTTTCATGGACAAGGTGAAGATTCAAGACTTCGAGAAGGTCTTTGAACCATTGTTTTACAACTGGAAACTTGGGAGACAAGCCAAGGAATCATTTGGAGAATTCACAACCCGCATGGTAAAAAATATCTAAACGACTCTTATTGAATTTTTAGATATTTCTTTAAAAGCTTAGAGATGTGATTTTGTGTTAAACTGATGAATATTTCAGGGATTTGAGAAACTCAAGGAGCTGATAAGTACATACGAAGGATCTCCACAGTAAAAAACAAGATGGAACTTTTGTTCTTTTGGAATTACACAAAAAGAAAGTGTATATTCTCTTGTCATGTTGTTACTCTTCGGTAACATCTGATGCATAAAAGATTATGTACTTGATCGTACTTTTCTGTATCTTTTTTTTTTACTTGAGTTCAGAGACCCACCAATAAGCATTTAGCTTTTTCCTTTTTTTGGTGTATCATGTGTGTTTTGGTTGTTGTATGGACAAAATAATTACTTCCTTTTTTGGGAATAGTAATGTATTTGCAATTTACTCAAAAGATCAGGAAGGATGGTCATGGTCTTGGTAAAATTATGTTCTTTTTAAAATGAGGAAGAATATATGTGCTATGTATCAAGAACCATGCGTTTTGTGTTATGTCTGCAGAAGATGTGTTGAACAGAAATTTACGTTTTTTTTATTTGTAACGAAGAAGCCCATTATTTTGGCCCAATAGCAAATTATCTCGCTTCTCCTTCTTGTTCCAACTACGAACATAATCAATCTCCTCTGCTCAGGTGTTTCATTTTGCAGATTTGTGCTGTGGAACCAAAGCTTTGTATGATCTTCTTCTTCTTGCAACACTTGTGACATGGAGGCAACTGGTGATATTTGGGAAGATATTGAACGTTCTGAGAGGTACTTCTCTGAATTTAATTTTTCTTTTTTAATTACGAATTCTGGTTGTGTTCTAAAGTTCCATAGGGAGAAAGAATGGAACTTTAGTCCTAAAGATGTATCCTTTTTTTTCCCTCAGTAACATTCTAGGAAACTTATCTGATTTGGATTCTCAGTTACATAGAAGCTGGAGATAGAAAAAATGAATATTATAATACTTGGAGCAACATACTTACTTGGAAAATACTCAAATTCATCTCATACCTGTAAAAGCATTTTGATTGCTCCTTTTTTTTTTGTGTTAGCTACCTCGTCTGCTCTATGTATGAAGAGGCAGAGTCACTATCCTCCACCATACTGAAACAAGTACTTGGCAACGTTGAGGAAGCTCTTGGTGATCAGTTTCATGACATGTTGGAATCTGCTGGCATGGTTTTAGTCCAATCGTTGCTTGGACTCGGCAGGTATTTTTAAGTTTGGATGCTGTAAGAAACTTTTAGAGTTTACTATTCTTTGGCTCTGTGATCGTCTCTTCACACTAAGTGAGTGCCTTTGTCAATGGCAGGACAGGTGAGATTGTAAATGAGCTAAAACTAGTGTTTGGCGAAGTTGCAGCTATCCCTCTTCAAGTTCTTCTCACTGGGTACCCTTCTTGGTTCTGTTCTTTTATTACAGCTTAAGATACTTGGAAAGGAGAATCTTTCTGAAATATAGGTTTTTGAACTAGGAGTAAAATGACATTCAAGGCTAGTGAGAGAAAAGAATCTCAACTTAACTAAATACTTGAGAGGTCATAGTATTTGCTAACGTTGACTTAGTATAAGGAGTACAATACTGCTCTCTCTCTCTCTCTGCATACTTTAGCATAGACAATTGCTACAGAATGATACTGTAGATATCTATTTGATCCATCTTCTGCCTTCTTTTTAGAATATGCCTTCAAATATCAAACGGTTCCTACTCGGGTGTACGTGAGATTCTGGAAGAGTTCTTTAGCATATGGGTTTACAAGGACAACCACTATATCCTAGATGATGCTGGATTGAGTGCAAAAGGACTCCACGGGAAAATGTCTTTGAGTATTGATGAGTACATGGAAGCTGTTGAGCTGTACACCTTTGGAGTTCTTGGAAAAGATGCAAACGACGTGGGTCTAGCCATCTCATGGGTTGAGAAAGCTGCATTGCCTGAAGAAAGACGACATGTACTATTGAAAACGTTTCATGAGTTGTTTATGAACTAACTTGTGAGCATGTTTCAACTCAATTCTCTGTTTCAGGGACTTTTGAGAAGATTGGATTCTTTACTTTCTGTCAAATCAGCAAACGTTCCAGAGGCTGCTTCCTTTGAGGAAAATTCTTCTTATGCTGTTGTGAATAACAACAAGTCTTTGGCTAATGATGAGGTTGATTATGTCTTGAAACTCTCTAAGCAACATGAACCGTGGTCATCTCGTCCTCTAAGCCTTAGGCTTGGTAATACCCGGTTTAGCATGTCCAGGGGGAAAGTTGCCTTAAGCCTTGTTGGATTAATCATATGTTATGCTTTGAAGAGAAAACGAGCTGCTTTAACACGGTAAGTATTCATCTATGCTTGTTTCTGAACATTGTTATGCTTGAATGATCAGAACTTATGGTGATGAAAACATATATCCATTGTGGTGTGTGTGTTGTTTACTTGTTTCTCAGGATAATTTGCAGACAAATGGAGACCACGAAAAAAGCAGTTGTGGATTTCTGGAAGCTTGCGTTTTCATACCAAGTGAATCCTCTTGCAGCTATTCAATCCATACCAAGCACCACAACTTGAGGCAGTTCCCAGTCTAGAAGAGGGATGAAAGACCTGATTTTGAATTGAAATAAAGCTGCATCATTGTTAGTTCCTGGCTAGGCTTTATCACCTCAAAAATGTGTTGTATAATCAAAATCCATACTCAGTTTTGTGGTAATGTCTTTCTATGTCACTAGCCTATTTGTATTGGTGCTTACTTGTATAAAATATAATAAATAAACAAAACTGTTATCATTGAGGAAACTTTGTATTTGATGAAAGATTGTATAATTTGGGACATGAGAGGTCTAATTATTTAAACAAAATTCATTTTGTCTCTTTCCAGTGATATTAGCATACATGATGCAATAAATTCTTGTCAGTGGACTATCATAATGACATGTTCAATGATTTTCTTTTTCTATATAGCTACATGTGTTCTGATTCAGTGTATAGTTTTCAGTCTAAAATTTTGCACTGCATATGACCTAATCTCAAGATACTTGGTCGACCTTTTTTGTTCTTCTTTTAATGTTATAGTAACTAAACATCTAATATTTAGCTTAAATATAACTATGGCGTACCTAATTTTCTAGAATTCGTACATCTAATATTTAGTTCTTTTTTTGTCAACTATATTTAGTTGTTTATATAGTTTCTAGATCTATTCATGCTACAAAAAAAAAAAAAAAATTATTATGTGGGATTATACATTGTGTAGGTAGGCATATTCATTTAACAAAATGTGACCTTCAAAAATCTTAAAATAGGAGAAACCACAAGAATACAAAGGTCTGATTAGTTACTCCAAATATAATAAAATTAGGATTACTTTATCTTGATTTCTATAAGTTTGGGTAGTTGCCACGAAAATCTTTAAATTCTGGTAAATTTGGCACGTAGTTTTCGTAAACTCGTGTTAAATCTTAGCCTTGATAGTTGTAACATCTGTTGTGTCTAAAAATTAAAACCGCGTTTTATTATTACCAATCTCTTAAACATTATAGTAAATAAACAAAATGAGTTACTTCTTTTGGGTTCTATAACTTTAAAAATAACTTGTTTCTTATTTATTCCTAATTTTCACTGACCCTATAAAGTTCCCGGGGCCAAACCTTTCCAAGTAAACTGAAAACGTACAAAACGTATCGGGATCAAAACAAAATGAAGAAAATTACCAAAAAGTTATCGACAAAGTACGTGAAGCTCCACAAGAGCCGGCTCCGTCAAGACGGGTCAATGAAGTCGGAGGAGGACGGTGGAGAGCTTTTCCGAGGAAATCATTCGCCAGAAAATGAAGAAAGTAATGAAAAGGAGACACCTATGGTTACAAAGATTATGGAGTCCATGCATCGTAAACTGACGCTAAAAGAGAAACCAAGTAAAAAGAATATCTACGTGGACGGTCACGACGACCAGCTTGAAGGTTCGGTTAGAAACATGAAAAAGCGTGGTGATATGGATCAGCATGTAGACTCAGTTACACATGGTCATATGGATCATCTTGAAGATTTGATTAAGGGTCGTGATCATAAAGACCAATCTGAAGGATCCACTAGGAACGGTGCTCGTCATGACCGTGTAGACCAGCTCGAAGGATCTAACAAAAACGGTAAGATATCTCAGCTTGAAGACGTTACTACTACGCCAAGCTGTCATGTAGATCAATCAGAAGGGTCAACTAAGAATCCTTCTGATTTTGCTTCTAAAAAAGATTATCTTGATTGGATTGAATATGTGGAAGGATCTAGTCATCATTGTTTCGATCGATCTGAACAACCTTATAAAAAGGACAACATCGACCATGATCAGACAAGCGTTGGTGTAACAGATGGATCGATTGAGGGGAATAATGATGACAATATGTTACTCAAGAGCTCTAAGTATAGAAAAAGTGTTGACGATTTGAAAGGGTATAAGAAAGGAAAAGGTAGAAAGGTCAAAGATTCATTGAAAAGTCAAATGGTTGACTAAAGGTGAACGTGCCTTTCGCATTGTATAATATGATCATTGATCATTTGGTTAGTGAGAAGTGAACTACCACTCTGTATAATTGTTATTTTCAAGAAAATCTTTACTTTAAAAGTTTGAGAACTAAAAGAACTATAACCACAATTAATCACTTTTACAAGTTTGATAAGATCATATATGTATAATCAAATATGTCCCAATGAATTAAATTTGTTAGTAACATGAAAGGCCTATATATTTCACAACAATGTATAAAATTTTAAGCTAGCTCCTCCTTTTCACTAGCAAAACCATATGGGAGCTAATTCGAGAGGAAAAGAGCCATCCATAACACGCAATTATTGTAAAAGTAAATCCATCACATAGCCAAAAGAAAAGTTGCAAATGTTATGAACAAAGTGATTAGAAGCCTAAGCCTAAAAAAAGAGCTTAATAGCTCCACTCCACAAAGAAAATCGCCAGATAACTTATCCCCGGAGAGAAGCTCGTGGCACCGCCGGTAATCCAAACTCATCCTCCGCCTGTTAATCACATCGTTAAACCTCCCACTAAGAGGAAATAATACTTGAAAGCATTTCGAAATTTCGAAAGTTATAACCTGAACACGACCCTGTGTAGGTCTAGTAGGTACTGGAGGCAAGTTAAGTTCATCATCGTAATCACTTTGCTTATCAGGCTGGAGATAAGAAGGCATTCCATCTGCTTCTGTCTCGTCTCCCATATCAGCTTCAAGAGCCTCAAGCTCTGAAAAAAATTCACCAAAAAGCCATTAAGAAAATGCAAGACAGAGTACGTTAATGCAACAACAACAAACTTTACCTCCCATGAGATCATCTTCATCAAGCCCATCAGGAACATTATAACTCCTACCAAGCGTTTCTTGAATCTCAGAACTATCATCCATCAGATCCATCATCTCATCTTGCAAATTCTACATAACACAATACAAAAAAATTAAACCACCATAGCAAAAAAAAAAGGTTGAAACAAACAAACAACAGAGAACGTACGTCAATATCTTGAATCTGTACGGTTTTCATCATCCCTTTCAACTCCTTATTAGCAGATTTTAATGCCGTCATCTGCAGGTTTAATTAACTTTGTATCAGATTCAATCTCTTTTTTTTCACAACGGCTTCGAAACAAAAGAGAGATATAAATATAATATACATACAGTTTGTTGAGCATCTTTGAGTCCTTCAGCAGCGAAAGAGACTTGATCTAAATTAAATGTTTGATTATAAAGCATGTCACGTTGTCCTTCATACCTAATTAAGAAAGCAACGTTAAATTGATCAACAATATAGCTAATGATTAAAAACCTAAATGAATATATATCTTTACATTTTCTTCTGCTTGAGAAGCCTCATAGCACGAGCTTTGAGAGCTTGTTGAGCAGGACCAGGCCTCGTCTTCTGAATCTGTTCTTTGTATTTGCAGAGCTCAACATCAAGCTTCTTTATCTTATCCTCCACTGATTCTCCTCTTTTATTTATCTAAACAAACATCAAAACAAAATTGCAACGATGCTGAATTTCTATATTGAAGTTTTGAAAGTGAAATCTCAAAATCGATGATCGAACACATGATTAAACCTAGAAACTAAATATCTAGCTAAGATCGGTACATAGATTCGTAATTCTAAATTCTCCACAGGACATTGCGAAAACGATTTGAAGATTAGGGATATATACGAACCCGATCCGAGGCGTCTTGGATGGAAGGAGCTGGTTCTGTGTTTTTTTTCGCGCCGAAAACTCTCCTCATCGTCTTCTTCTTCGTCTACACCCTTTCTGTGATCAAAATCTGGGAAACTTACTTGGGAAGGAAAGTGAAATCGAGGATTTGGAGATTAAGTCCTTGAGGTTTTCGAATTTATGGATTTAGCTTCGATAAGTTTTTTTTTTTTTTTTTGTAACAAGCTTCGATAAGTTTATAGTCCTTAATTAATTTGTCAACGCGAAGAAGTTTCGTAGGTCTTTTCGTAAAGTTAAATCGTTCCCAAAATTAATTAATTTTAAATCTTTAATTAATTTGGTCAACGAGAAGTAATCGATATCGGTTTGGTTTAAATTTAAGTAAACCAAATTGAATGTAAGAGGAGGCATCTAGTACCTAAATCGAAACGTAAAGAAAAAGTTTCCTAGATCTTTTCACAAAGTTAATCGTACCAAACTATATCTATGATAATCATTAATTAATTGGTCAACGAGAAGATGTACTAGTATAATTTACACCATCTATTCCTAAAGATTTATATTCTAGATTTTTTACACCTTTTAATAAAACACAATAAATTTACATAATTTTTTATATTTATCTTCTATCCATAATTTTAAACCAATAAAAAATCAATTAATTAGTGGAATTAATTTTTTGAAGTTTATAATTAATTAGTAAAACATGCATTGAAAATGTAAAAATGAATCTTTTATAAACAAATTTTTTTCTAAAATATGTATCTTTAAAGAAGGGAGAGAGTATTTTGGTTTGTTTTAAATTTACGTTAATCAAATTGAATGTAAGAGGCAACTGCTGAGAGATGGTTGAATCCTCTTAATTGGCTTCTCCTGCTAAACGAAGGTTGGTTTTTGATGGAATCATCAATCATTTATTGTTCTTTTGTTCTAATCAATTAAATATTGTTTCAAGGAAAAGAAAATGTAAGACTTAACTAGTACGTAAACCCAAACGTAAAGAAAAAGTTTGACTAGTTGTGTGGAATGTGGATACAAAAACACTAGTACAATCGAGTTTTTAGACAGAACTACTCTTACTTTATAACTCTCTCAACATTTTTTAACCCCACAAATCCTGACTCTTAACACGAAAATGACAGACAAGCGTAAAAAAAAACAAAACCACATTTTGACATTTTACCTCTTCCATCAAAAGACGATGTTCATCTGAATCCAAGTTTGACTGAGTAATAAAACGAAGACTATTAATGAGTTGTATACTGATCATGATCCATACACCGCTTCACTTCTTTCTGTTGTTTTTCTTCACTTTGAAGATTCTCCGCCCAGACTTATCGCCACCTCCTGTGCTGCCCAGTGAGAAGCTCCCACCTCCTTGGAACTCTAGACTCTGTGAGGCCTGGAAAGGTGATGCGTTTTGTGGTGGTGTGTTTGCAATCGGCTGGCCTCCAAACTGGAACGGGTTAGCCATTGTTGGAGGCGGTGTTGCTGGTGCTCCTCCGCCAAAGGTAAAGCTTGGTTGAGCCATTGAGACAGGCTGTTGTCCAAACATTGGTTGTTGTACCATGGATGTTTTGTTGGCTTGGTCTGTGTCTTCTGCCATACTGTCCTCCATGCTCATTTGTTGGCTATTGTTGAAACCATTCGTATTATTTGCTGGTGGAGCAGTTGCACCAAACGCGAACGAGGGGGTTGAGTTTCCAAAGGGTGAGGGAGGAGTCGCGGAGGGGGCTGAGTTACCGAATACTGATTGCTGAGGAATGGTGGGAGCGGATGAGTTGAAACTAAAGGTGCTGGGAGCAGAAGCGCTTGAACCGGTAGCAGCAGAAGATGCTCCAAACGAAAAGGTTGGAGTAGAGGAAGTGGTGAATGAGGAACCGAAGACTGGAGCAGGTTTGGGAGCTTGCCAGTTTGTCCCAAACAGGGGAGAGCTCGTTGTACCACTAGAGCTTGAAGACATGTTTGTCGAACTCAGTTGAGGGGTTGAACCGGAAGCAAACACTGCAGATTCCGGCTTTGACAATCCAAACGGGGAACTATTCGTCGAAGTGCTGCTCCCAGACAAGCCAAATGAAGGAGCTGAAGCAGATGACCCAAACTGAAACGGGGCGCTTTGGGTTTGAGTTGTGGTTCCGCTACCTGTTGTACCCGTCTGACCATTTGCAGCACCGAAAAGACTTGAGCCCTGAGATTGGGAGCTAGCAGCAGAAGCTGATGAAACAGCATTGAATCCAAAAACATTGCTTGTAGTACTTGCAGCTACACCTCCAGAAACGCTACTACCAGAGCTTGTAAATGCAGGAGACGAAGTTCCAAAAATATTACTTCCAGTAGCAGCTGTAAAAGTCCCCGAAAACTTGCTGCTCTCCGTCCCAGGGGTTGCGGTTGAGGAAGATGACACACCAAACACTAAACTTGAAGAGCTCCCAGGTGTAGAAGATGCAGTAGAAGGGTTTACTGTGCTGCCACCAGCCGCAGACGATGTCCCACCAAAGCTAATTTTACCAGCGTCTGTCACAGTAGGGGAACTCCCAAAAGTAAAACCTGGCGTGCTTTTAACATCTGAGGTTTTAGCAGCAAAAGTATTTTCAGTGCTCGTATCAGCTGACGCCATACCACCAAACTTGAAACTGCTTATATTTCCAAATGTTGGGTTTTTTACTTCAGTCTCTTTTGAAACCTGAGCACTAGATGCAGATACTGATGAAGCAGACAATGGAGCAGCTGCAGGTTCCCCAAATTTGAAAGGTGACGTAGACGAGAGAGGAGCTGCTGCAGGTTCCCCAAATTTGAGAGATGACGTAGAAGAGAGAGGAGGTGCTGGAGCTGATTCTAAGTTGTTGCCAGAACTGCTGTCGTTACTAGTATTAGCAGGCAACTTTCCAAATACACTCGAGGCAGTCGGAGTCTTGCCAAATACACTCGGCGCAGTCGGAGTAGCAGCAAAAGATTGCACAGAGCATGGCACCTCACTCACAGAATTATTGGAAGGTATATTCGAAATGCTAGATGAGAATAAAGGTTTTGAACCAAGAGAGCCGTTGAGGACCGATTCAGCTGAGGTATTTGACTCAGCTCCAGAAGCGCTGTTGCCATCATTTTTCTTTGTTTCAGTTGGCTTTCCAAAAGCCTCTGATACTCCAAAAGTAGAGCTGCAACAGAAAGAAAGTCAGAAGTCAGTAAAGGTAACTAAAGAAAGTCAGTCAGTAAAGTCAGAAGTCAGAAGTCAGAAAAGAAGTATGCCATCAACCTGCTCGGCTTTTCGAACTTCATGGCTGCAGATGTACCATTGTTTTGATTTAAAAAGTCAGTGGCCGCTGGTGACGAGAAGGTGTTAGGAAACACAGCAGCAGCTTTTTTAGGTTCTTCCCGAGAGATATATTCCCCTCCTGAGATCATCTTAGGAGGAGAAATATTTGATTTCTCATTCCCTTGGATGACCTTTGAAGTTGGCTCAGAGGGCATATTACTTTGCTTAACAGATTCCATTGGTAAAGTAGAAAACTGGCTCTTTCCAGTTTCAGGAGATCCATTAGAAGTACTCTGAGAGGCGTCACCATTAGGAGTATATGACGTAGAGGCCATGGTCGCAGATGAAGTAAATAGTGTCTCCCCTTTAGGCACGCTGAAACTAACACTTTTCTCCACTTTTCCGACATTCTGTTTTTCTGCCTCTTCAAATGGAGTAGGTGCTGCAACATGATCATCCTCCAACTCCTGCATTGTTTAGCTCACAATTAGATGGTCAAACATGTGCAGTTAAATATGGTCAAAGGTAATACACACACATGATAATCAACTATGAATAAGAGTAGACTTTTGCTACGAAAAGGAAATAAGATTGGCATTTATACGATTGCTCGCTTTGACACACTTATTTTCATATTCTGAAAATATAAATATAAATATAAGAAATGAACAAGTTACCTCATCGGCTATCATCCGAAATGCTCGTTTTTTTGGAGGCTGCTCTTCCAAAGAACTCGTGAGAGGCAAATAACCGCCTTTAACACGAGTCTCCTGATCTTTACTGGAACTTGCTTTGTTAGTGTCATGAGCAGCACTACCAGTCTTCCCACTTAGAGCTAAAACCTCCCTGGAGCCACTCCCTCCAGATTTTTCCTGCTTTTGATGACTAGAGACTGGCGAATTTGCCTTCTTCTCAGGAATATTATCCAAGAACTTCAGCGGCTCCACATTCTGAAGGCTCTTGAGAGCCGGGCCTCGTAGCATAGACGATGACAACTTGCTCGGGGATTTCTCCTTTGTGGAATCCATTCTATCAAGTTGCTCGAAGATTTTCAAAGCCGCCTCCTTGGATGCAGAAGGGACACGATTAAAACTTGAACCAGGAATATCCTCTGCACTATCTTTAGATGTATGTGTAATGTTTTGTCCACCATTGGCACGAACAGAAAGTGGGGTTTCTGAGGCAGGCAACGCCAAGCTTCTAGAAGAAAGGTTAGATTTCTGGCGAATCCTCCTTACAGGCCCCACAGATCCTATATCATTATCTAAGACTGAACTCCTCCGTTTGAGACCCTACAAAACAATTTAAAAGTCAAGTGGATACTTATGTTTTAGAGACCATTCAGAAATTCGTTTGATGCATAGTCAAAAAAGTTCACCGATTGAAACCCATGTCTAGAACCAGAAGATAAGCTTTCTTCCCATGTGCTTGGAGATGACCGGAAAGGAGACCCAATCTGAAAAAAAAAAGAACCATAAAATTAGATACCAGTTGCAAACTCTACAGTAGAAATGTCATAGTTAAACATTGAAACCTTCGGAGTGGACTGAGGCCTAGAGTATGGTGTTCTGGCCATGCTGTAAACAGCAGATCTTCCCCGAGTTCTAGGGGTGACAAAACCATTTTCCTGAGGTCTTTGTCCAGAAAGCTTTGGCACCAGTGACATTGTAGGCGACTTTGACGGAAAAGGGGTTCTGTTCAGGAAAACAGAATCTTCCCTAACCGCTTGGCCACGCAACCCCAGCATAGAAGGAGTAACTTCTGAAGGTCTGCTACCCATGTAGGCTTGTGCAAGCTGTGCTGGAGAAGCAATGCGCTCCTCGAGAGCCTGGTAAGGATGAAACAATCAAAAGACTAAGAACGCCATCGGCATAAAACAGACTAGTATATCTCATATGTGTAACAACTTGCATACCCTCGAACTTCCAAGAGGTGTTGAAACAAGGGCGTTCATAGTTCCATTATCTGGATGTGCACTATCCCTCTCATGTGTTTGTGGATTTGGCAAATTACTCGCATCATTTCTTTGATCCCCGTTTACAGTGGATGAAACATCAGCTTTCGAACGGAGCAGTGCAGTTAATCGGTCAACTTCAGACCTATAAAACCATCAAATAAGATCAACGAAATTCTTAAACAAAAAGTTCCAGTTACTCAGAAATCAAAGATGCTTAAGCATATTGTAGTAAAACGCACTAAAAACAAGAAGAGGAAATAATGTTAAAAGACTAGAAATTTCACTACTCTTTATCATGAATGTTAAATCTATGCAAAGATAAACTTCTATAATCTTAGTGGAATTAGTTATTACTCTACTGGGTTATATGAACAAGCAAAAACTTGTAGAGAAGGCGTACCTTGTAAAAGTTTTCTCCTTCAAAATATTCTCAAGATCCGTAAATCCATCCTTGCCTTTCCCTGGATTGCCTAATGCATTGGCTTCTTGGATCCGAACCACATCACTTTTCACAGACAACTTCACACATATAAACCACGGTTAAACAACAGAGTAAGAAAGAACAAAAAAAAACCCCACAAGAAGAAGCTTATTTACTTACAGCAGGCGTACTCTCCACGCGTCCAACTCTAGTCTCCTGAATCACATCTGAACCACGAAAACATAACACAACAACACATATTAAAAACATACATAATTGCTACTAACACATTAAACACAATCTCAAACAAAAAAAAATCAAGCTGGAACCACAACCAATCGGATTAAAGACTCCATAATACTATGACTAATACAATACCTAGTAAACTACTTCAATTAATTAAACAAACATTCTAATAACACTTCTCTAAGACTCTAACAAACTCCGAATGCTACACAAAAGATTACCTCTTTCTGGAATCCGCTGCTGCTCCGGAGACTGTAAGGGCGATTCACCAGAGCCAAGCCGTTTCCGAAACACAGAAGCGAAAAGCTTATGAGCGCTATAAGTAATAAGCCTCTGAGCCGGATCCACCAATTTAGACAACCACCCGCCGCCTCCTCCTCCTCCTCTATCTTCCCTCCCTCCAACTCCAGACCCTCTCACGGAGGTCGGTGGCCGTTCATAAGGAGTCTTTTGAGACCTCCGAGCCGTCGGCTTACGGAACTTTCCGCCGGTTCCTAATCCGCCGCCGTACGGGTTGCTGCTCTCTCCTCGTGCCGCGCTCGCCATAAGCGGGGGAGAAAAGACGAGATCGAATGAATCTAGGGTTTTCGACGAGCCTTTCCGCGTAAGTAATATCGGGAACTTGGTGCGAGGAGACGGAATCGGTAAAAAATTTGGGGGAACTAGGGTTTTTTTCTAATTTGTGGTGTACCCAAACTAAAAGGAAAATTTAAAAAAAAAAAGGAAAATTGAGAGGAGCGTATATTCGTGTTTTCTAATTAAATAAAACTAATGTGACTGGTTGTTATGGAAGATACTAAGACGGGTTGTTTTATAGCCGTGAGATTAAATATCTCCAACGGTGTGAGATTGAGGTTTTTAGCGGTTCCACCGTCATGTTAATTTTCATTCAAAGGAGACGGCCAGATGTAGTGGGCTGGGCTTTTATATAAACATAATGGGCCCCACAAAGACGGAATAGGTTAATTTGATTTAAATAACCTTATGAGAAAACAAAAACATTTTTTTTGAAAACATATGGTAATGTTGTTGGACATCATTTTTGGTAAAACCTGAAGCATAGATAAAAGCAGAGATAAATCAAAGTAGCCACACTATAGAAATCTAGTTTTTGATGCCGAGAAAATTTACAGCTCTAGCTCTGTTTCAGAACATAAACATGATGATACAGGATGCAAAGCAATAAAGTCATGAGTTCCTGTTTTTTTTTTTTTTTTTTTTTAGGATGGAAAATGAGGAATAATATTCTTTTCCAGCAAAATGGGGAACATATTCTTCAAGTAACCATGGAACAATTCGAGATTATCAACAATGGAATGGAGCAAGATGATCAAACGCTGCAATCAAATGGGTATGTTTCAAGGCAAATGACATCAATTCATGAGATTCTCCCACATTCTTGTCTAGTAGATGCCTCGTGGAAGAATGAGAAAGAGGTTAGTGGCATTGGATGGTCCTTCCATTGCAAGGATTAGGATATGATTAAAAATGAGTATATGACTGTAGCTTTCTTCAGTGACTGCAAGTCACTCATTGATGAAGTTTCATCAGTGTTACACTGCAAAAACCCATCAAAGCAACTCGGAGAACAGAGGGCTCTTATATGATACGAGACATACAAGCTATATCAAGCTTCTCACCACTACACTTATCATTATGTAAGTAGGAATCTTTTGTCTAATGTAGATATAATAGCCAAGATGGTTAGAGTAAACAAGCAAAACTATGTAATAAAAAGTAGCTACAAGTAACAGACCAAAAGAACAATGTTTATATGCATAAAAGTACACAGTACAGTAAAGATTTTCCTAATAATAACAAAATCTCATCACAATATTGAGAAGAAAAAAAATAATCATTCATAAGTATTTGTTGATCTTACGGGTTTGTAATCTGACAACTAGTGTTTCAAAGAGATGCTAATGCTCTTCTCTAAACCAATCTTCATAGGTCCTCCCATGATGCTCCCTTTCTGCATCATGGCCACAAACTCGTTGTAGTCTATTCTTCCATCCTGTAACAATGATTCAACGCTTTAATAGTGTTTTGTGATAGCCTAATCAATCAATCAATCAACAACAAGAGGTTTCTACATCATCACTCTCCCAAGCTTGGAGGCGATCTAAAGAATGTGTTTTCCCATTGTTAGCTCATTATTCTTGAGACTACAATGCAGATTAAGATGAGATGAGAAAGTGTAAGAAAAGAAGCTTTTACCTTATCTTGATCAACATCACGAATCATTTCTTCTATACGAGCATCTTCAACACCAAACTCCTCACAAGCTTGCTGAAGCTCGTCATGGGTGATAAATCCACTATCGTCCTTGTCAAAGTAGGAGAAGGCAGCGAACAAATGGTCCTCTCTCTCTATTTTGTTTAGATGCAGTGTTGCAGCTATGAACTCTTTGTAGTCTATTGTTCCACTATTGTCCACATCAGCCTGAATCAGATGAAACAGAACAGACAAGATTATTACAAAACCCAAGCAAAAGATGGGACTGTTATCAAACTTACAGCTTGCATAAGGTCAAGAATCTCAGACTCTTTGAGATTGGCACCAACTCGTTTTAGTCCTACTTTAAGTTCTTCGAAAGTTATCTGACCACTATTGTCTGCGTCAATCATCTTGAACATTTCTTTCAAACCGGCTATTTCTTCTTCGGATAAGCTTTCAGCTATGACCTACAAGGAGTTGAAAAATGAAGAAAAGGTTACTTATCTTCTGAATTATCACTTTCTTTGGGATCTTGTTTAGCATTAGAAAGATATCTTACTCTAAGAGCCATTTTCTTGAACTTGTTCATGGCAGAAAATTGCTTCATACGGCTCAAAACAGCAGAGTCCAGAGGTTTATCTGGAGCCACGCCATCAATTTGAACCCATGGATGACCTATTCATCAGAATCAAAACTTCTTCAGACCAATCCTTAGATTTGAATGACTTACATAATACCAGAAAAAGAAAGGTATATATATGCTCATAATCAAGACGAATGTTTAGACATGAATGACTTACACAACACTTGATGTGCAGTTAGCCTTCGCTTGGGGTCACGCACAAGCATTTTCTGCACCAAGTCTTTTGCGCCATCAGAGATGCTTGGCCATGGATCAGAAGAAAAGTCAAGATCTCCATGAAGGACCTGCTCGAAAATACCTTGTTCGGTTTCTGTCCATGTCATTGGAAACATCAGCTTCTTTCAGAGCGTCTAATATGAAAACAGAAACAGATGCTTGAAGTTATAAGAAAGATGCAACCGCTCTTACCAGCCCAAAAAGGAGGAACACCACTTAACAAAATGTAAACAATCACACCAGCACTCCACACATCTGATTCAGAACCATAACGCTTTCTAAGAACTTCTGGAGCTACATAGTATGGACTACCAACAACATCTGTAAAAATTTCATCTGCAAAAGTTGAAAGGGAACTAAAGTTACAAACTCAAACATAGATGTTGTTGTGTAAATCAAATGATCAAAGACAAGAAGAACCTGGTTTAAAGAACATTGAGAGTCCAAAGTCGATTGTTTTCAATAGAGAATCTTCCTCTTTACTAACAAACAGAAAGTTCTCAGGCTTAAGGTCTCTATGCATAACACCAAGAGAGTGACAAGTCTCTAAAACCCCAACAATGGTTCTCGCTAGCTCAGCAGCTTTCCTCTCAGTGTAATGCCCACGTTGGATAATCCTATCGAAAAGCTCACCACCCGAACACAACTCCATGACAAGATGCACCGCAATAACATCCTCATAAGCTCCTTTGATGGATATAACATTTGGATGACCAGCCAAGTGATGCATTATCTGAATCTCTCTTCTCACATCTTCAACGTCCTCATCCGTCAAAAGCTTCCTCTTGGAAATGGACTTGCACGCATACTCGTTACCAGTACTTTTCTCAACGCACAAGAACGTTGTCCCAAATTGCCCTTGTCCTAGTTTCCTTCCCAATGAATAGAACTCTTTAAAGTTCTCAGTCTTTCTCTGTAACACTGACTCTGTTCTAAGCCCTGCACTGGACACCCTCCTCATATGTTTAGGCTTATTGGGATCAGGTTTCGTCTCCGGCTTTGTTTCACTCTTTGTTTCTGGTTTTGTTGCCTCAGGCTTTGTTTCTGGTTTTGTTGCCTCAGGCTTTGTTTCTGGTTTTGTTGCCTCAGGCTTTGTTTCTGGTTTTGTTGTCTCCACCTGGAGAACAACCTCCTTCTTAGCTTCTTCAGGTTTAATCTCTGCAACTGGTTCCGATGGAATTGTCCTTGGATTTGACATTGTGACTTGCTCAGGGGGTTTATTCTGAACCTGATCAGGTAATGGTCCTGCAGCTGATGCTTCTTTGGGAACTTCTCCTTTGCCATGGGAAGAAGAAGCTGCTTCTTTGGAACCTTCTTCTTTGCCATGGGAAGAAGCTTGCTCAGCTCCAATTCGTGGCTTCCATATTGCAGCGGAAACAGCTTGCACGAAACTATTTCCAGAAATGGTAGGTCCAACACAAACATTACCCATCAAAAAATCTCTCTCTTAACGTATAATCCTAAATCAAGATTCCCACATCAAGATGTGATCTGATCTGAATCTCATTTTTTAATGATCAGAGACACCACAAGTGAAAAGTCAAATCTCTCATAACCTAATACTTGGATCTCTTATCCAACGATATAGAATCTGATCACTCACAGTATACAGATGAACAAGTAAAGCCCCTACTCGGGTTGATAGACTATATGCAAAGAAGGAGTCTTCCACAGCAAGAATCAATAAGCCAAGGAAAAAAGTTTCGATTTTTTCAGAAGGTTGACATGCAAATCGAAAACTTTAAACGAACCCACAACAGAGAAAGACGGAATCCTTAGAACGGTAACGATCTGAAGCAATAAGATCTGTGATGGACAAGAAAAGACAGAAACTTTTGTTTTGTTATTTGGTCGGAAAATAAAGGAGGGAAGATCAGGGGATCGCTTAATAGCAATACATTTGTATAAAACCTTAGAAAGATGTAATCTTATTGCCTAATAGCAATAAGTCAATTTGTAAAGAAGAAGAAGATGGAAGAAGAAAAATTGAAGAAGAGATTGATCCAATGAGTTTGAAAAACGCGTTTGCGTTTTAATACCACCAGCGATCACGTTGTCTGCATTATTATTTTGCAGTACCCACTAGAACATAAATGCGTTATTTAACTGAATTTATTGTTAGTTACAAAAAAAAAAAGAGTATGGAAGCACTGATCATTAACGACACAGACAACAAAAACCAAACACAATAGTTTGTCATGTAAACCAATGAAGCCAAAATCTTCAGATTCCAATGTCTTTGAGACATAAACAAAGACTCTGGTCTGTCAGAAGAACGAAGAGCGGTTTACTATGATCTGAGATTAAACTAACCGGATATCGCCTTGTAGCCTTCCTTTTCCAGTAATTTTGCCAAGGAGTTGTCTCCGGTTTTGATGATTCTTCCATTCTCCTGAAACCGAGTAACATACATGAATCACAGATATAAACAAAAAACACAAGTAGCTCTTGCGGTTTGGCCAAAGAAACCAAGAATATTCACCATGATGTGTATGAGAGTTGGTTTGATGTAGTCAAGTAGGCGTTGATAGTGTGTTATCATCAGAACAGAGTTTTTTGGTGTCAAAAGACCATTCACCGCCTTTGCCACATCTTGAAGAGCATCAACATCCAACCCTGAATCAATCTCGTCTAGTATAGCCAACTCGGCTCCAAGAACCTGCAAAGGAACAGGAAGACACCATTACTAAACAAATAACATTAAGTGTTCCCTGATTGCTATTATCCTGTTTAGGGTTTGAAGATTAAGGGGCCCCACCAGCTCATGTCAAAGCAATTTAAAAATAAAATACGGACATGTCTACAATGCTTGCTTGTAGATATTTCAGTTAGAAGGAAGTCTAAGGAGAGTCCTTCAGACATATATATTTAGCATGCGTCTTTTCAGCAAACATTGCAGTCAATACCGAACATATATCCTTAATGCTCAAGCAATTTCAATTGTGTATAGTTATAAAAACAACCTATACCTGCTTTGGCAAGTCTGTCTAGCCAAACAATGTGAACTATTAACCTTGTGTTTTGTTCACACTTACGGAACAAGCACAGTATCCCAACTACCTTTCCTTACTACATTTGTTTCTTATCATATACAGAGACTGTGGCAACTGAGAAAACAAGGGGGGACTGGAGAAATACCGCTAACTGGAGAATCTCATTGCGTTTCCTTTCACCACCACTAAACCCTTCATTGACATTCCTGTTCAGAAAATCTGTCTTCATGTTCACAACTTCAAGTTTTGATACTAAGTGGCTGTAGAACTGCATTAGACCAATAGTCACACAACAACAAGTAAGAAATAATGCAAACTAAACCTAAATCCTCAAAACCGGTAACTCCTAATTAACCAACACACCTGGATTGGATCAAGCTCAGGCTGACCGAGCTTTCTTTTCCGAGCATTGAAAGCCATATTCAAGAAATCCATATTGCTAACACCAGGGATCTCAACTGGAGACTGAAAACTCATGAAGAGACCAGCAAGAGATCTCTCCTCTGGCTCCATATCAACCAGATTCTGCCCTTTAAATACAATACTTCCTCCCGTCACTTCATAATCAGGATGACCAACAAGTACCTACAACAAACAAGTCTCTCTGATAAAACAATACTACGCAGCATAGATGAATCCAGAGATAAAAAAAAATATCTTCTCTTTCTCATATGATTGGTTTCAAAGACTAAACTATTAACATATAAAGTAAATATCTTCTCACCTTAGAGAATGTGCTCTTCCCTGAACCATTCTTCCCCATCACAGCATGAACCTATAAGGTTTTGTTAAGCAACCACGAAACAACAATCTATGAGGATAAAGTTGACATCTTTTACAATCAACATACAAAAAGTTAACTCCTTTAAGCGTACCTCTCCTTCGTAGACAACCAAGTTTACACCTTTAAGTATCTCCTGCCTCGTTTCAACAATCACAGCTCTCAAATCCTTAACCTCAAGCAAAGGGATCTTTCCCACTAACGAATCCGAAGGGGAGGAAGAGTCCACGGGAGAGGATACGGAAGAGGAAGCGACAGTGTGTGAACGGTGAGTGGTTCGCAAGGTTGGAGAATTAGCTCGGAGATTAGAGAAGAGGACACGAGAGGGTGAAGTTCCGAGCTGAACTCGGTGAGGAGGAGGAGAAACTGTTGGGACGAATTGAGTGATAGAGTATGAGTGACGGAGGTGGAGGTTCGCACCGGCCATGGAGATAGAAATTGCGGCGGAGGAAGACGACGGAAGTTATCTCGGTGAGTGGTGAAGTTGGTGTGGTTAAATCATGTGTTCAAGTGCCACGTAAGCTACGGAAAATGAAATAAAACGACGACACTTCGTGTTGATGCGCGTCTTCTTGACCCTTTGAAGAGTTATTACTTAACGCTTCCTTGTAGCAAAAGAAACCGTTTATAAATAACCTTTGGACCAAGAAACAGACAAAGTTAATACCGTACTCTAGGGAAAGACTTGTCTAGGGCTGTTCAATATGGTGTTCGGTAGCTTATAAATCAGTGGTTGAGGGTTTACGAAGGTAGCTTAAAAGACAAGGTACTTGTAAAAGGAGTGATTTGACAGAATGTAATATGGTGATACATCTCTTGTTTGGATCTTAAGAATGAACCAACGAAAGTATAACAGGACACTAGAGCTAATGAACTGATTACAATCATCACCTCTTCTCGTAGTAACATCAGAGAGTAAAACAATTCAAAAGCATAGATATACTAAAAGCCTCTGTATGGATTTGGAATGGAGGAAGGTAAAATCTACAAACTACCAACAAACTCTTCAAGAGACTGAACTCCTTCTTCTTCATCTGCTGCGGAGATCAGAGATGCTGACTGAATCTTTCCAGCGTGATCAAGTCTCATGAGAATCACTCCCCTGAGAACAACATTCAAACGAGAACATATAAATAACCTCGAGGAAAGACTGCTAAATTTGGGAAAGGGAATAAAGATATACCGTGCGCGACGTGATTGGATGGAGATATCCCTGACTTTGATCCTGTTCACTGTCCCGCTTTGGCTCACTAGAACCACTTGTTCATCGCTTTCTCCATCCTCTGCAAGAGAACAACAACATTTGTAAGATTATAGTAAGAACAGTTCTAAATCTTTATAAGAGGAAGAAGAGTTTGTCTTTACCAGCTAAGGAGTAACCAACCACGAAAACAGCAGCCAAACGATCATCCTCGGCGAACTGAGAAAATGAGACCAAAGAAGAATGAACAAACAAAGCTGACAAGTGATAGTAATAATCTACCTCACAATCAAACCAATTAATGAAACAAACAAAGCTAACATGAGATGAGATGGTCCTAATCCAGATCATACCTTGGATCCTATTAAGCCAACCCTGTTCAAACGAGAAGGCTTGAAGCTACTCAGAGGAACACGCTTTCCATAGCCATTCTCACACACGAATAACAGCCATGGACCCGTTGATTGTTTCCTGCATTTGTTTTGTGTTAATAGAGTAAAGAAAACAGCAAAACATTAAGGACAGTTTAAAGAGCAAACATGAACAGTTATATAACTAAAGAACACATACTCAGCCGAAGTTTCAGTTTCTTCTGACTTCACTATCATATCTTTCCTAAGAGATGAAGGAATGATGTCCATGCTCGCCATCTTATCCGCATTCTTGAGTCTCATGGCAGTCACTCCCTTTGTGTTTCTGCTCAGTGTTCGAACCTAATAAACAAAAAGCCATCAGAGTTTGCTCAACTAACAAAAGCTTTACTCAGGGAAGAAGAATCAAGAACTCCAACTTACACCATCACATGTACTCAGGACAACCATTCCGTTTTGGGACGCCATGGCCACAAGATCATCGCTTGAGCAGCAACGAACCCATTTCAATTCATCACCAGAGTTCTGGAGACAAACAATTACGTTAGAGCAAGCTTTGTTAACATAGAGTCTACCTGAACTTGAGTACAAAGAAAAGGGGATTAACCAGTTGAATCGCTATGATTCCAGTTGAGCGTATCCCTGAGAATAGCTTCAACGGTACTTTCTTGATGCAGCCATTCACAGTAAGCATCAGGAGATACTGGTCTTCAGAAAACTCGCTAACAGGAACGATGGAGGTTACTCTTTCACCTTCTGACATGGACAGTATCTGCTTCCCACAAGTCACATGAATACAAAAACGCATTAGACATTAATTACTTTCCACGTTGCACAAGGAAAACATGTATATTACCTGAACCAAAGGTGTGCCAGCTGCATTGCGAGAGCATTCTGGAATCTTGTAAGCACGGGTTGAGTAAACTATACCCCGGTCACTGAAATGTAGAACAAGTGTTAGCAACTAATTACAAGGCAGATTGCAGAAACAAAGGCGGTTTCAGTTAAATATACCTGAAAAAGAGTACATGGTCATGCGCATGACAAACGAGAAAGTCAGACATGGTATCATCAACTCTCAGCTTCCCTACGGATTTTCCAATGGTTCCACGGTTCTGGAGATTGAACGTATCAGGCTTCATCCTTTTCACATAACCCTTCTCGCTTATTGCCTGAAACCCTCCAGAAATCAGAAGTCACAAAAGAAACAAAAAATTTCAAGGTTGAAAAACTTTATAGGTTTGAGTATGCAACATACCATCAGCATTTCTTCATTTGGAATAACATCTATGTCATCCAGATCACCACTGTCAGAATCTTCCAGCACTGAACGCCTGGGAGTTGAGAACCTGTCCTTCAGCTCTATTGCTTCTTGCTCGATTAACTAAAGAAAATCGAGAAAAGATCCAATCGAATAAACAAGTAAGTAACATGAACATGATGAAAACGAAGTGAAGATGTATACTTCATGCATCAACAATCTTCTTAACGTTGGCCCATAACAGCACAAGATTCTTTCAGCAGAACAATTATGTATCTATAATTATATAGCAAGCGACTCTACAAAGACAACGCAACAAGCAATAATCACTGTTACCTGAGAAAGCTGAGGGTTCCATTTAGCAAACTGTAAAAAGGAAGAACTGTTGGAATGTTTATTACCTTCAAAATGTTTGTTCTGCTTGACAGTAGCTGTTCCAGCTTTGTGATTTGCTCCGTCAGTGAACTACTCTCATCAGTAAATTTCTTTCGCTGAAGGTAGAATCAAGTTAGAACATCTTCATGATTACAAGTTTAATTTTGAAAAATGAAATTACAAAAAGAACGATGATTGAGGAGAATAAAAAGTTACCTCGAGAGCAGTTAGTCTTCGAAGACTTATCTCCAATATCGCCTCAGCTTGCTTCTCAGAAAGCCCATACTCTGTATAGATACATTTGACCATGTTAAATTCCTTATAAATAGCAACAACAAATGGAACACCAAATGGAACTTCTTTAAACAACCAAGACGAGAAACATATTGTGTAGTTCATATCTATTGTATTCATTTGAAAATGTGGATCCTAAACTATGTCAATCAGTACATATAAGAAAATGACTCTAATACAATGAATTGGGAAGTAAAACACAGCTTACCACTCTGTAAAGCAGCCGAAGCAGAGGAATGACTTGAGGCTTTTTTGATGAGTTGGATTACTGCATCCATATTGTCAAGCCCAACCACAATACCCTGCCGTGAAACAGTTATAAGGAAAATTTAGGTAAATTAGAGTGTTACACAATGAGAACATGGTCTTCATGCATCACAATCAGATAGGGAAATTTTCGAGAGTATTTATAGTTAAGATATAGAGAGTAGTTTTAGAAAATTAAATATCTCAAAACACACCTCAATAATATGCTTTCTTTGTTGTGCATGTGAAAGCTTGAACTTTGCGCGCCTCTCGACCACAGAACATCTGAAATCAATAAATGCCTACACACACGCAAAAAGAAGAAAGTAAACATAATATATACTCCAATATGATAGTGGTAACAGAGAATTAAATACCCTATCTCTGACTTTCGCTTTACTATTATTCCTTCAGGCCTATGTTCTTGGACATAGTCCATGAAAATATATTTATTAGCAAGACCATTTTTCAGTTTACTTAGTATATATCCAGTAACTTAAAAAGACGAATGATTTACATAGGCAAGTAGTTACCTGAAGTAATTCTTTTAAACCCATAAGCTTCGGCTCTCCATTACAGATACTGCAAACACACATAATGTTAACAGCCAGTTAAGATCAAGGAAAGGAACATATACATTAGAGAAACTGCAAATGCTTCTCTACATAACAAATGTGGATCCTATTTTTTCTGTTTCGTCCATATGTCTCAACTCTTGAGTTAAATAAGACAGCCAGCAACAACACAAAGATACTTCACAATAACTCACCCCACCATATTGCAGCTGAAACTTGATTGGAGGGCTGTATGGCGGTAAAGGTTATTTAGCACAAGTGCAGGATCCCCTCCTCGTTTGAGCTACGAGAAATAGAATATATCAAAACCGTTATTCCCCACTATCGAATTTGAAGCACAAAATAGAGTGCAGAGCAAACAGTGTAATACCTCGATAACCACACGCATCCCATTACGATCACTCTCGTCGCGTATGTCGCTTATCCCTTCCAGTGTCTGAATTAACAAACATCTGACGTCAATGAATATTTAAAAGGAAACTTTGCAAACATCAACCTAACTAATATTTGCCTGATATGATTATTTTAGACCAGACATCTACCTTATTTTCAACAAGTTCGGCAATCTTCTGAACAAGTGTAGCTTTGTTTGTCTGATAAGGAATCTGCAACAATTTCACTAAGAACGTTAGTTACTCTGCCTGCTTTTTACCGTAATGATAACGCTATAAATCTAATGGAAGCCTCCTTGGAGATTAATACATAATCTGAAAAACTAAGTCGATCACCTCTGTGATGATAACTGCATTGCGCTTTGTCTTTGCATCTAACATTTCAACTTTAGTTTTTCCTCTAACTACAACACGCCCTCGGCCAGTTCGGTAAGCATCTAAAACCCTGAAAATGCATCCACACATTAGAGCACTATAAATGAAACAACAGGATTCAAAACTACACAAGGAATACACATGTAAGGTTTTTCAATACAATCAAAAATACACAAGGATTCAAAACTTCATAGGACAAGCAAATAAAGAAACCTCTTCAGTCTTCACCATACTATAGGACCTTTAGGTTTCAGACATATGTAAAGCTTTTGTAACATGTTAGAATCATACATCTGAGTAGCGGAGAAAAAAATATGGTTCTCCATATCCATAGTTATTTTCTTACAAGGTCTAGATATTGATTTTTTTAGTGTCCTTATATTTGATCATAGAGTGACCATAGCATGTTCATTAACTAACACTAACAGAGATGTGAAACTGGACGAAGTCTGAATTAAAACAGAAAAGCAGAGTACGCATATAAGAGAATATACAATAAACAGACTCAACAAACAAGATAAGATAAAACTGGAAAGCAAAGACTTACCCAAGGTTTCCCATTATTGTTCCTCCAGTTGGAAAATCAGGTGCAGGCATGTATTCCAGCAGTTCTTGTAGCTGAGGCGACAAAGAAGAAAGTGGAAGCAACATCATGTGAGTTTATCGTCATGTCTACTTATAAACGCCTACACAGTATTGACAGCACACTAAAGCAAAGAAGGGAATAGGTACCGTTGCTTCTGGATTGTGGATTAATGCGCAAAGCACATCTACCAACTCCCCAAGATTATGAGGAGGTATATTTGTCGCCATACCAACCTTAAAAATGTGAAATAATCTAAACTCAAAAAAACCTAAAATAGAATTAGTAATAAAATCGAGGTTTAAGGTTTGCCAGATTATTTTACAGCAATCCCAGAAGCTCCATTGAGCAATAGAGCAGGAAGACGAGCTGGCAACACAGTTGGTTCCTTTTGTGAGTTGTCAAAGTTAGGCACAAAATCAACCTGCAGAAATTTTAGAAACAAAAGAGGCTAAGAGACAATTATTCAACTTGGCGATAAGTAAGTGAAAGCTTTATGATTACCGTGTCTTGGTCAAGATCAGCTAACAACACAGCCTCTGCAAGTGGCTGTAGAGAAAAACAAGATCAATCAGCTGAGGACACTAAAAAGAGAAGAAACGCAGTGACAGAAGCACTATAGAGTCACTCACATCGAGTCTGCACTCAGTGTATCGCATAGCAGCAGCAGGATCTGCATCAATAGACCCAAAATTTCCATGTCCTTGGATAAGTGGACATCTCAAGGAGAAACTCTGCAAACAACAAGATGCAAAAATGAATGTATTAAGACCAAACACAACAGTAACGAAGCGTTATTTTAAGACTAAACTGCATTTCCATGGTATAACATTAAGACATGTATATATACCTGAGCCATCCTAACAAGAGAATCATAAACAGCAGTATCTCCATGCGGATGAAATTTACCAAGAACCTGTAGACAAACACCACAAACGTTACTCAGAACCACACCCAAACATCTGAAGCCGGCAGAGACACAAACAATTTAGAAGCAAAATTCACTTAACCTCTCCGACAACTCTTGCAGACTTCTTGTATGGTTTCTTAGAAGACATCCCCAGCTCGTGCATAGCAAACCTGTAACAAAGAATCAACCTTTAAAAAAAAATTGAATTTTTATTTTTTTGCTGGATAAACCCAAAATTTCAACACTTAACAGTATTCTCCGATGGACAGGCTTGAGACCATCTCTAACATCAGGCAAAGCACGTCCAAGCAAAACAGAGAGAGCATAAGCCATGTAAGACTCCGTAGCCTCCTTGTGAAGCTCAAAGGGCACTATACGAGGAGACTCTCCTCCTCCGTTGTTGTTATTTTCATCCCCTGAAACCACCAAACCGCCGTTGTTTGAGGACTGTGGAGGAAGGGAGGAGATGAAGCGGAGGCCAGAGGGTTGAGTGCGGCGGAGACGGCATAATGGGTCGGCGAGGGGGAACCGGAAGTGGCGAGGGTGGGTGAGGGAGCGACGGAGGAGGGAAGAGGAGAGGCGGAGGGAGGAGGAGAGAGACATGAGGGAGTTGGGGTTAGGGATAGAGAGAGTGGAGTGGCAAAAGGGTGTCATGCCCAAAGGGTTTTAAGGATTTGTAGAAGAAGAGGGATTATTAAAGCTAAAACCCTAGCGACACCGGAGGATTTTTTTCTCAGGCGCCAAGTTCAAGACTTTGTCGGGTGGGCTTTCTGTCCGAACAACAAAAAAACTTATCTATCTCATTTTGTGATTTCTTAAGGTATTTTTTATTTTATTTTGAGTAAATAATAATATACTCATCTAACCAAAGATATATATATATATATATATGAATTTATTAATTTTAACACTTTCACACATTAAAAACACAATAAAATTTTCGTATTCTTTCCATGATTATTATTTTCAATAACATTAAATCAATAATAACTCAATAATTTAATAATTTTAAAAATATATTTTTTCAAATTTAAAAGAATTTGTATTACTAAAATACTACATCCATTTTCTAATAGATGACATTTGAGTATTATACACATAAATTAAGAACATATTTAGTTTTTTACATTTTCTAAATAAACATTATTAGTTATTTAAATAACCATAGTTAATCAAATAATAAAATGGAATATATATTTTCTCAAAAAATAGCAGATATACTATCATTGGCATATAAAAATTTAACAACATCTAATTTGAAACAAGAAAAACAAATTTAAACTACAATGTTCATAGAAAATTTTATTAAATTATGTTTGTGAAACATTTCTAGATTATTCTATGAAGAACAGAGGAAACATCCAACTGTCATCAATTTATATTCGGTGTCGAAATTTATAAAACTAAAAATATGTTTAATCAAGTTCACAAAATGTTGAAAAAAATTAGTTCATAAACTCGGGTGAGCCTTTTCATACTCATCCTTCACATATGAAGCAGCTTCCTCCTCTTTTTATGCATCTATGAAGACGAGACAACGTCCCCTGGAAGCTTGCGCCACTGAACTAGCCTCCATAAACACTACGTGCCTTCAGAAGAATCTTGTCTAGCTCCATGATCCATCAGTGGCTCTACACCTTTCACCAAAATTCTTACATTCTAAAAAGAGAGAAAGTATCATCGTCTTTGAAAGCAAACTTGTCATTTGTTTCACTGTAGGATATGTTGCATTGAAGAGAGTGTACCACATTTGTAACTCAAGCCAGACGCTGAGATTAGCTTTTCTAATTACTAGTTACATATTCCCCGCGCAAGCGCGGGGCCGGGATCATTATGTTTACGTGTATTTTTTTCGATTATTGGTTTAGTGGATTCTTCTAATGACACCAATTAATAATGAAATGGAAAATTTCATGTTTTTATATCATATGTCAAAACTTGATATAATTCTATATTTATAGTATTTATATTTGTATTAAACGATTTATCAATATGAAAATAACCTTAATTAAGTTAATATTCATTGTTTAAATTTCATTAGATAGGTTTTTATATATGGTTTTTTGTAAGTTTCGGTTTTGTTCATAAATGATGTGGCATTTTTATCTACGGAGTCATCGACTGTTGGAATTCATTCGCCGAAGTCTGGAGTCGGTGGTGAGAAATGTTTTCAATGAAATTATAGTAGTTATTAAAATGTAAGAGAAATTACATATTCATTTAATAAATAACTTACTTAAATTTTGTTGTTTATTTTATTTTATTTCACATACAATCGTTTTTGAAAAATATTAGGAATGTGTTAAATGTTATTTATATGCGAAGTAAGGTTTATAGGAATAGTTAGGCTATAATATAGTTTTTAGTGTGTAAAAGTAGGTGTGTGTTTTTTTGCTGTAAAAGTTTTTATATCGTAGATTAAAACTTGATATAATTCTATATTTATAGTATTTATATTTGTATTAAACGATTTATCAATTTGAAAATAACCTTAATTAAGTTAATATTCGTTGTTTAAGTTTCATTAGATAGGCTTTTATATATGGTGTTTTGTAAGTTTGAGTTTTGTTCATAAATGATGTGGCATTTTTATCTACGGCGTCATCAACTGTGGGAATCCATTCGCCGGAGTTTGGANTTATATATGGTGTTTTGTAAGTTTGAGTTTTGTTCATAAATGATGTGGCATTTTTATCTACGGCGTCATCAACTGTGGGAATCCATTCGCCGGAGTTTGGAATCGGTGGTGAGGAATGTTATCAAGGAAATTATAGTAGTTATTATAATGTAAGAGAAATTATATATTCATTTAATAATAACGAAAATAATTAATTTTTTTTGTTTTATTTTATTTCATCTCACATACAAATTTTTTGAAAATATATATTAGGAAATATGTGCAATGATTTAACTTTTTGAGCTCCTAATCTATATTATTCAACCTTCATTAAGCCATCCACGTATGCACCCGCGTGGAATTCACTTTTTTTTTTTTTTTTTTTTTGTCTGTTCGTTTTTGGATTTATTTTTTATTATTTTTGGGTTGAACTATATTATAATAGGATAGTTTTAAGGTTCTTTAAGCCATCCGCGTAAGCAACCATGTGAGACTTGTTTTTTTTGTTTTTTGTTTTATTATTCGTTTTGGATTTATTTTTAACTATTTTGGGTTTGAACTTATTAAGGTTTAGGGTTTATACAAATATTTTGATCTTTAAAACAATAAGCCCAAAAAAAAACATAAGAACCTTATAAACAAAAAGCCATATGATAATAATCTAAATAAAAAAATCAAAAATACATGATAGTTGTGTGGTTTGAACCCACAATCTTGCATACTTAATTAGACACCTTATACCACTTGGATAAAGTGTATTTCATTGTTTGTGACCATCTTACCAANAAAAATCAAAAATACATGATAGTTGTGTGGTTTGAACCCACAATCTTGCATACTTAATTAGACACCTTATACCACTTGGATAAAGTGTATTTCATTGTTTGTGACCATCTTACCAAGACTATGTGTGTTTAAAAAATATTTTTATGATGATGACATTAATTGGTTTATGCATGAGAGCAGTGGGAATTGAACCCATGTCTTTGGCGACCAAACATAAGGTCTTAGACCACTTGACTAAATTGATATTCTTTGTTTGTAGCCATTTTAAAAAAACTATCTATTTTAAAATAAAAATGTGGGACCCACAATCTGCCTATGTGGACACCTTGAGGAGCTTTTAAACTCAATCATTATAATATAGATTCAAGATTGCCTGTAGCCCAGGCTTCTCTGTCCTTGAAATTTAAATATGACAAACATTCGTATAAGTCATCAAAGTCACTATAAAGAGCTTAATGAATCATTGTGCACGTAACAAGACTTCTACAAGAATTCAGGAGCATATGCCTTTAAACTTTAGTAACCCTCATGTGTTTCCGAGAAGTAATGCTCTGCTCTTCTAGCTAAAACCAGTTAGTTGCTCATGCTGCACGAGCAACTAAGTTAGTGCTAGTATGGAACATGATTTCATAAAATTTATAAACCCGTATGGTTTTCATGAAACATGATTTATTTAGCCTATATAGTTCACCCTAAATCATTGAGTGTCATGGAAGAGGATTTGTTTTTTTTTTTTTTTTTGAGAAGAGGCTTAAGAGGGTTTGATTTTATATTGTATTTTGGCTTTAGATTAAAGAGATGAAAATAAAAGGCCAGGATATGTCATTGCTCAAAAGAAGGTTTGAAATGTTTTTATACCCGACCCGAACCGGACACCTTACCGGGTCACTGGGTTATTGGGTGAACCATGGGTGAACCACGGGTCAATACATTAATTAATTTTAATACATAATTATGTATTAACTATGAAAAATATAGGTTAAATTTCACATTTCTTAAAAACATAGAAAATATTTAAATTTCTTCTTTTTATTTTTCTTTTATTTCACATATAAAATATTTAAAATTAGATTATATTATTTAACAATTTTATTAGAAATTAAGAGTTGAGACGTATAGTAAATCATAATAAGACTTAAATCTCATAAGTTTTAGATATTTATCGTTATTCAATATATTTTTTTAAGAGGCATAATGCAAACTTCATAAAAATCAATAAATGATTTAGTAAATATTATATATGATTTTTAAAATTAAATAAGATCATTACATTTGATCAAATAAGATCAATACATTTGATTAACAAAACCATTATATATTTATAAACATGTAAAAATAAAATTAAAAAAACATGTGATTAAAATAAAAATGGAGTTTATATGATAAAAGTTAGAACATAGAAATTAAAATTAAATGTTATTTACCACATACGAAATCAACAAAAGTTTAAAAATAAAATTGAAAGAGATATATAATATGCGATGGCATGAAAAAAAAACAATAATTTTATGAGAAAAAAATAATTAAAAAGTAAAAATCTAATTTCTAATTTTGGATACACCATAAATATTTAATAAATAGTTAAAAATCTAACAAAAACTAAATAAAAATAATTTATTGGTTCGTCCGATGGTTTAACCGATAGCCAGGTTACCATATTTAAGGGGTTTTAGCGGATTTTATCGAGTTTTTAATTAGTGAATATTTCTTAAAATTCAAACCGGATTACTTATTAGGTCACCGAGTTTAGCGGTCAGAGCACGGGTCCGGGTCGGGCGTGAAAACACTGGTTTGATAGGTCTACTAAAGGAGCTGCATGAATTAAAAAACAGCCGACAACGTACAAATTAAAAACAAATTAGTCAAATTATTTTTTATTAAACACGTACATTCATTGACAGCTTGATATCAAAGGATATAATATCATCCAAAGTTGACAATATAATCCAATAAATTGCAATGTTGAGTTGTAGGTTTTCAGGATAATTCTTTCAAATAAAACCAACAGTGTCCAATGCTAATCAAACAAAAATATAGTTGCAACATTTTTTGACAAAGAATATAGTTGCAACATTAAGAAAAAGAAATATGATTCACCGACATATATACTCTTATAAACATGAGAACCACGTATATACATTTTTGATCATTTTAATTAGTTTATGTCTAATGATCATCTTTGTGCCTAGCACGTAAGTTGTTAGTTTTATTCGAATTATTATATCTATGTATTTATATCGACTCTCTAGTCTCCACAAACCAAACACAAGAAACGATCAACTTCAAAATAAAAATAAAAATGTTATCCACATACGGAAAAGTTGACGAGCGTGAACATGCAATGCTCGAAGCTCGTCGCAAGACGAGGAAGAGAATCGCAATCATCGCCGTATCACTAGTCATTCTCGCCGGAATAGTGCTTGGAGCCGTCTTCGGAACCATGGCTAACAAGAAGTCAACGACCGTTGACACCAACGTTAACGGAGACTCAATCTCCGTTTCCGTTAAAGCCGTTTGCGACGTTACATTACACAAAGAAAAGTGTTTGGAAACGGTCGGAGCGGCTCCAAACGCAAGCAGTCTCAATCATGAACAGCTCTTCATATACGCAGTCAAGATCACAATCGCCGAAGTTTCAAAAGCTCGTAACGCGTTCTCTTCATCCGGAGACACCACGAGCATGAGTGCTTGCGTTGAGCTTCTTGACCTAACCATAGATAACCTGAACGACGTGTTAACTTCGTCACAAAAAGGTGACGTCACGTTACCTAAGCTAGTGGAAGACCTCCGTACATGGCTGAGCTCAGCCGAGACGTGCCAAGACACTTGCCAGGAGACGTTGGATGAATCTAACGATCCAGAGTCGAAGACGTACGGAGAAAGTCAGCTCAAGAACGCAACGGAGATGACGAGTAACGCTTTAGCGATCATCACATGGCTAGGTAAGATCGCCAAGTCCTTCGAACTCTTGAGGTTTCTACTTACACCATAATTAACTCAAGTCTCTTAACTGAGTTTCTTAGTTTCAGTTATAAGATGGTTCCTGATTGTTTTTTAGATTTTAACTAACAAAAAATAAAAACCGTCTTTAAATAAGAGAGATATAAGAACCGGTTCTTAACCGAAAAATGTTAAAAAATGTTAAATCTTGAGTTAATAACTCTGACTAAGAAACCGGGGTTGTGCTAATGGTTCTTAGCATGTAGCATGGTATTACGTAGGTAGTTGGATAATTAGTGAACTAATATAGAGTTTTTTTTTTTATCATCAATTGGTTTTGGTTTGATAACTTATAAAACATAACATAATGCCTTCATCACATGCTAGGTAAGCTTGCTGACTCCTTCAAACTCTAGAGGCATCTGTTTAGTTGCTGATGTGGCAGTTTTTGATATGGTATCACATAATAGTTTGAACTGTTGAATGAATGAATAATGTCTCACTAGGTAATTAGAGAATTAGTGAACTAATATATAAAAGATTAAGGTTAGTCCAGTTATTGACAATTGTTTTAGAGTAAAAAATCAATGAAACATAAGATAATGCCTTAGTGTTTCAAAAAAAAAAAAATATAATGCCTTAACGATGATCATTACATGATTAGGTAGGATCGCTGAATCCTTCAAACCACAGAGGCGTCTACTTAATGCTGACGTGGCGGTAGACTTCAACGTGGGGAGGAGGTTGTTACAGAGCACAGATTTGAGGAAAGTGGCGGATATTGTGGTGGCGAAAGATGGATCAGGGAAGTACAGAACGATAAGTAGGGCTTTAAAGGATGTGCCTGAGAAGAATAAGAAGAGGACGGTTATATATGTGAAGAAAGGAGTTTATTTTGAGAATGTGAAAGTGGAGAAGAGCATGTGGAATGTTGTTGTGGTTGGAGATGGAGAGAGCAAGAGTATTGTCTCTGGTAGACTCAATGTTGTTGATGGAACTCCCACTTTCCAGAGCGCCACATTCGGTAAATCTCCCTGTTTTTCCTATCATATAGAACTCTAGTGTGTTGTTTAATTTTACCAATGAAGTTTATGCTCTAAAACATACCAACTAATCTTATAACCCTGAGAACGAATATTTAGTACTAAGATTTAGAATGAGTATTTAGAATTAAGATCAAGAACGAACATTTTAATTTATTACTTTTTCATTTGTTAATCCAAGTAGGATAACACAGAGAAGTTTGGAATTTGGTTTGATATGATCAAATAAGAATCATCATTTCAAAAGGATATATGTGTTAATATTCTAAAGTGGAAGTTAAATGGACATACACTACTATAAAGAATGCTATATGCGGAGAATGGATTGGAAAACCGGTGATAAACGAAATAAATTGACTGCAAAGCATGTTTTGTGGCTACTAATATTAACTAAACAACCAAAATGAATCTTATATGAACTAATAGCCTTCGCAAGAAAAATATATATACTCGTTGCTTGTCATCCAAGAAAGCAGTTTAATACTTCTATGTTTCAAGAAACATGTTTTATACTTTGCTATGTTTCAAGAAACCAGTTTTGACATTTTGCTAGACATTTTTACTACAGCTGTGTTCGGGAAAGGGTTTATGGCAAGAGACATGGGTTTCATCAACACAGCCGGTCCATCCAAACACCAAGCCGTAGCTCTAATGGTAAGCGCAGACCTCACCGCCTTCTACCGATGCACAATGAACGCATACCAAGACACTCTCTACGTACACGCACAACGCCAATACTACCGTGACTGCACCATAATAGGAACAGTAGATTTCATCTTCGGTAACGCAGCTTCCGTTCTACAAAACTGCAAGATTCACCCTCGTCGACCAATGAAAGGACAGAAGAACACAATCACTGCTCAAGGACGTAAAGATCCGAACCAGAACACAGGAATCTCGATTCACCGTTGCACCATATCTCCCTGGGGTGACCTAACAGGTGTTCAGACGTTTTTAGGTCGGCCGTGGAAGAATTTTTCGACCACGGTGATAATGGATTCGTCTCTACATAGGTTTATTGATCCGAAAGGTTGGTTGCCGTGGGTCGGAGACTCGGCTCCGGATACTATATTTTACGGTGAGTATAAGAACTTTGGCGCTGGTGCGTCCACGAAGAATAGAGTTAAGTGGAAGGGGTTGAGGTTTTTAAGTAAGAAGGAAGCGAATAAGTTTACTGTTAAACCGTTTATTGATGGACAAAAATGGCTTCCGACAACTAAAGTACCGTTCAGGTCCGGTCTTTGAGTTTTGTTTCCGACAAGAGATTCGGTTTCAAATCTCTTTATTTTTTTGGATGAGTATGTATTTACATATTTTGTTATAATGTAAGTGTTTATGGTTATTCTATCATATTATTTGTTTCATTGAAATTCAACATTATATAAAAAAAAATTAAGGTTATCATTTTGTTACTTGTGTATCAAGTTACCGAAAGGCAATACATGTTCATGATTAAAGAAAGTAGCTTTTATTCACCAAACTATTTTATCCCTTTATACACATGGGTACACGCATACATAATTTTAGCATTTTTAACCACATGAGACCTTTAACGTGAAGTTTTCTACTACTCCTTGTTATCATCATCGTGTCTCCTCAAACAGTTGAAGTTTTCTGATAGGAAGAAGAATCAGAAACTGGCTTTCTGATTATCTTGGCAGATTCCTTCAACAAATCAAATGAAGAGAACGAGTGTGGCGGGAGAACAACAGTAAGATCCTCCTCAGCCATCTCTAGCAAGGTTTCGTGTGGCGCAACCTGTAAAAACCAAATTTGATTTAAGGTGTAAAGGACATGAACAACACTCAAAGCTGTGATGGTTTCTTGACTTACCTTCTCTGGCTGTGTGAAGGAGTTTTCATCCATCACGTTTGTAGATGTAAGTATTGTTCTCTTTGATCCTGAAAGTTTCATCACGTTCGGATCCAATCCAGTAACCAACACCTTCAGGTTTACTGAGCTATCTCCAAAGTTTACAGCCTGCATACAGAGATTTTTAGAAGAATCAGAATAACTCAGACTCCAAAAACGTTCTGTAGATATGTTTCTCTCTGACTCACCTTTACGCGTATGTACTCTTGGCTATTGTTTTTCCAGGAGATTGCAGATGCTACAAGAGAAGAAGAGTTTCCCTTGAGTTCTGAAGTTAGGAGAGTTGATCCGCTTGACTCCGCAAAGAGCCTTTGGACCCAATAGCTAGGAGTTCCATATAGATGAGATGAATTGAAGACTATTGCATCAGGGTTCCACCTGAAAACCAATTCAAGAACTCAAGATTGTTTTTGTTGCCTTAGCTTCCTGAGTAAATTATAACAACAGAACTGAGAGTTACCGTCTATCGTTTGTGTTCACAAAGAGCGGTGCATAGCTCGCCATTTCCACAATGTCACTGCAACAAAGAAACCATCAAAGATGTTTAGCTCATTTGGTGTTTTAGTAGCAATCAAAAAGGTTGAAGAAAACCTGTTCTTTTCAAGACCAATGAGAAACGCAGCTTCTGCAAGAGCGGCGAGAAGACTTCCTGTACCAGCATCTTTTCCAGTCACAGCATATTCACTCACAAAAGCCTGCAAACAAAGTTACACGAGTGAGCACCTTTTGGACCCTTGTCTCTTCTCGGGATTACGTTTTGTATTATCTATTACCGCACCTTTGGACCCTTGCGTGAAGTACTGTCAAATTGATGATACATGGAAAACAAACTGCTAGCGGAAGTGTATATCTGTGACAAAGGAAAACACTTTCTTTCAGACAGAAACACACACAAAAGAACATTTTAAAGTTATGTTTTTACATGATAATCATAGTAATCAGCAGGATGGTCAAGCGGACTAGATGATCCATCACAGTTGGAGATGATTTTGATATCTGGATAGGCCTTTTTGATAGCATCGTAGAACACAATATAGTTCCCTGTGAAGTTGTAATCTCATTTAGTATCAAAGACGCTCAATAAAAGGTCAAGTGTGAGTATAGAGAAATGGCAAAGAACCTCTGTAGTAAGTCTTTCCACAATCCTCATTCCCAATAGCAACATACTTCAGTTCAAAAGGTTCTTGGCGGCCCATTGCAGCTCGAACCGATCCCCACGTAGAGTTGGCATCTCCCCTAGCAAACTCTATACCATCAAGTGCTTCCTGGACAAAGGGCATGATACTGGCAGTTTCAACTTCATCATTGTGACTAATCCCTGCATGAAGGTGAATCACTTGTAACGAACAATGTCAATGGATTTGGTTATACAAAAGAGTGTTACAAGAATACCGTTGTTAAACACCCATATTGGGGCTGCGCCAATGTCTTCTGCCAACTATAAGAATGCACATTTAACATTTGATTAGAGCTTAGGACCATTACAGATCCAAAACTGCAAGATTCATAGTTTAACGAAGTCTCACTTGAAAGAATTCGAAGTGGCCAAGGCCATCATCGGTCCAGTACTTCCAAACATCACCAAAATGTCCAGGTCTCTCTTCCCAAGGCCCAACAGTTTCTTTCCAGCGGAATGCATTACTTAACCATTCACCCTCGACAAAACAACCACCTAACTCCACAAAGATCCAGAGTTATGAATGAATAAACTTAAGCTGCATACGCAACAAAATGATACTAGTCTTACAACATTACCTGGGAAACGGATGAAACGAGGTTTTATATCAACCATCATTTGGTAAAGATCGTTTCTAAATCCATGTCCCTGTAATCAACCAAGAGAGAGAGACTGTAAATATCTATTAACAATCATCAATCTTTCATGTCAAAGCTCTATGGCGCAGTAGCAAGAACCTTGAAAGTATCCACCGGCATGGCCGAGACTTGATCAATCCATATTGACCCTTTCTTGGTTGTTGTTAACTGCAACCTTGCACCATGATCCGTCCCTTTTGCCTCCAGAAGAAGCTCCTTCTTAGTCCATTTCGAAACATCAGAAGCAGACGCTCTACATTGAAACAAACGAAAGATGAAACAACACACTTAAACTGAAGAATCTGAAAGTATTTCTCACATGATCTTCTCAGAAGCAAGAGTCAACGATCCATTCGAGCTTGTCAACGACACAGAGAGATCGATATCACTAGTTGAACGCACATAAAACGCCACCTTGTACTTCTTTCCTTGTTCAATATTCTAAGAGAAGATTGAACAAACTTAACTCAATACTAATGACACAGAGAGGAAACTTCTAAAGTGTTCAGAAATGGAGACTCACCATGCCCCAGTAACCAGGGTTATAAACTCCAACACCTCCTGATGGACAACCATTGCTATCACATAGCACATCCATTCTCAAAGCGATCTTATTCCGTTCAAAGCTTGATGAACGGTCCGTAACAACATATACAGATGACTGATCACCAACAATAGACCAAGGCCATATATTAGACGGTGTGTTCTGCCCACCAGCTTCAAACCCTGTCAAACCAAAAGGTTTTTGCTTAATGATCATTGGTATTCATGGCTTTTCACGATTAGTTAGCTAAGATTCAGACCTCTGTTGCTAACAAGTTCAGCCCATAGTCCACCAGCACCAGCATGGTTTATTTCCTGCAAATGATTTTGACAACATAGCATTAAGAAAACTCAAAGTCTAAACCATAACTTGGAAGGTGTAACGTTAGCAAACCTCGAAGAAGATCCCGAAAAGAGTATCAGGAATGAGTCGTCCAGCTCCATTAGAAGCATTAACTTGCAAAGTCACAGCTGGTTCTGTGCCTTCCTCTTGAGCAGCAACAACAACATGGAGGCTTTGATAGACAAAGCAAGAGCCAAGGAGGAAAGAAAGTAAGCAAACGCTTCTGAGAAACTTCCAAGACTCCGTACCCATTATCACCACATGCAAAGTAAAACTAAGAGTAGCTTCCTTCCTATAAGAGAAAAGGTTGGATTCTTATTCAGCTCAGGCCGTTGGATTATATAAGAAAGAAGAAGAAGAAAAAGCCTTAAAATAAGGTAATAGCTACAAGTAGAAAATATTCTTTCTTTTGCTTATACTTATCAGTTTATCTTCAAAACAAGAAAGATAAAACACATGAGAATAACATAATATTATATGATCTCACTAATCCTTTTTCTTTTTGTCTTCATTGGAACTACAAAGTCTTGATGAATAATGCCACATTAACTAATCACAGAACAAGGAGAAATTTTGATATACAAAAAAAGAAACTTTTAACTGAAATGATGTGATTAGAGTTTGTTGCAACTGAAAGCTTGAGAAAATGAATCAAATGGGCTTTTAGAAACTGAAAAAGAAACTCGATTTGATCAATATCAGAGTGTAAGTTAAGTTCTTTTTGAGATCTCAAATCTTATTGGTAAGAAAGTCAGAACCTTTGTCATAAGTAGAAACATGAGATAAGCAGTGAATAAACCCACAAGAATAAATGCAAAACAAAACCTGTAAACTAACGGATTGGTCGAGACGAGACAAGAAATGGGTTGAGGATGAGAAAGAAGTATATAAAGAATGTGTGTGTCTGTTTTGTGGTTGGGGGTGGAGCTATTGCTTAAGAGTGAGAAGCAGAATTGAAGGGAAAACTTGCTTTCACGCTTAATTGAATTGCTTGTTTTCGTGGAAGAAGGTGAATGTTGATTAGAAGCGACGCCTACTGAAAACCCTTTCACCCACCTCCTCTCTCTTTTTTTTTCTTCTTTTTTGTTTAATGGATAAAAAGAACTAAAGAAGTATTTCTATTTTTTTGGATAATGATACATTTTTCTTTAGTTATGTTCTTAGTACGATTACAAAATCTATGTCAACAAAATAAAGTTACTATTTGTAAAAACTCTAAATCGTTGATGTGTTTTACAGTTTACTTGAATGTCGTATGTTCTGTTTTATTTAAGTTCAGGTTGCGTAGTGGCATGAACTTTCGACTCATGGAGGTGAAGCTGTATCCATATGTTACTCAGAGTCACAGATCATGATTGGTTGGGCTTGGAGTCACTTAAGCTTTTGCTCCTTAAGAGCATGCACATTGGTGTTTCTCTCCGATGAATCCTTAGGATTTTTTTATTAATTTTTTGTACTTTTTGAATAGTTAAGGATCTTAATCTTTTTTAACGTCCAATGGTGTTCTCCAATCCGGAATCCTTAGGAATAAAATAATAATTATTTTTGTAAAATTAAAAATTGAAATTTTATTTATTATACGATAAAATATGAAAATACAACAATTTTATTGAGAGAAACGTACTCCTTTCCGAGAATGAGAACAAAACTGTCAACACCACTCGAGAACAATGGTATATCTAAAAGAATCTATCAGGACAAAACTTTGTTTTCAACAACTGAAGAAAGCAAGAGAGAGAGCTCTGTTTCATGGATCAGAGTAAGTAGTCTGATACAGTTTCAAACCGAAGAAAGACAGAGAACAAAGTAAATAAAATCAGTTGGTCTAGTGTGAGGCAAGTACATCACTTGACACTCTGTGTTGCTCCTTTTCACCCTGCAAAATATGAATATTTTCAACATAATACAGAAAGACATAACATTTTATTCAAACTTTGCAAGACTTAACCGATATTTGAGGAGGAAATGATGAAGAAAAATTGAAATCTCGAGTTTAGCGAGATCATTTCCTGGACACACATGGCCTCCAGCACCAAAAGGAAGGAAGGCATCAGCTTTTGGTATAAACCCCTTCTGAAAAAATCACAACAATACAACGTTAGTTTTTCCTTGCTTTGGATCGAACAACAACACAAGATGAGAAAACTAACTTACATCCCATCTACAAGGATCAAATTTTTCTTGGATCCGGCTAGACTTCAGGGTCCATGTGGACATCCCTAAACCATGTCAAAACCTTCCATCCTTTTGGGATCAACAACCTAGTGAAGAAACACACCTCTTACTATCTGTTGACAGTTGCAATAGACTGATATAAGACACCAAAACCATACGTGCGACAAAAACTCCATTTGTCTGGTTTCTTTCAGAGTAAGACCCTTTTATCCAAACCACACATGTCCCTTGTTCAACCCAAAGCGACTGAACAGCAAGTCCAACGAAAGAAAGAAGCATCATCTCCATGGCAGTTCTCAAGATCAGTCTCCATCTTTGCTAGCTCTTCACCTTTTAAACAGTAAAGCTTCTGAAAAGAGGAAAGAAAAAAGAAAGAACCTTTGTAAATAAGGTGTATGAAGATGACGACGAGTATCATGTATCAATGAAGCTGTGTCTTCTCTTCTTCTTTCTCTTAGAATTTTTGACAGAGACAAAGTAATCAAATGAACACTTACCAAAACTGAAAACAAGATCCGTGAAGAGTAACAAGGAGGAAAACGACCAAGCCATGTCGGTATCAAAGAGGGGTTTGAGAAACCTTAATCGATTGAAAACCCCCAATTGAAACCATCCCCAAATCGATTCCAAAACAACAAAATCGAACCCTAAATCGCGAGGAACATCATGCAAGATCCCCAAATTGAAACCCTAATCGATTACATCTATAAATCAACAACGGAAAGAGAGGATTTACCGTAATCGAAATCGCTTCTACAATCGCCAGAGCTTTTTTTTTTGTTTAACTTGAGTCGTAAATGGTTTTTTTTTTCCGACAAAACCCAACCCGTATCAATGACGAACCAACTAAAACGTGACACGTGGCTAAGGATCAACGAAAATAAATCCTTATTCACATATTGATCCTTAGTGATTTTGGGTTAAATAATATTAAAAAAATGTAAAATCCGATGGACCAGTGGTTAAGGATTCCCACGTTCCTACCGTTGCACATGGTCTAAACTCTCCTAAACTTAAAGAGTTCTTAGCAATGGTGATGGAGATTTAATTTGAGAATGAGCAATAAAAGTGTTAATCAGGTTCGTTATTGATTCATCATACTAAATCATTGCATGTATCCAATCGAGACTTTGTTGGGTCTAAACTTTTTGTTTTAACCCACTAGGGCATCAAAGATTGGCCTTTAGATCAAACTCTAGCCTCAAAAGAGCATGTTTATGTGGATACCACACAAGTAATGAACCCGAGAGAGAGTTTCACAAAAACACCACATGTTATCACAAGAATACCGTGCATCAGTATATGATATCAGTATTATGATTCCATCATAGTCACAATCTGTCTCATCTTAGTAACGCTTTGATGTTAATTTGGTCTTTTATATTGGATTTTGACTAATTGTACATCACTGAATGCTTTTGGTCCTTTCTTGCAAGTTAACCCATATTAAGTTGGGCCTTAAATTTCTCCATAAACATATAATTATTTGTTGACAAATGACTTGTTAACAGTATTACGTTAAGTTTTATGGGGATCTATATGTAAACAAATTAACAAGTTTTTATGGCTAAACTAGTTTGTAATGTTTTTTTTTTTTTTTTTTTTTT